CACGTGTGAGCAAGTATGTTTTTAATACAATGACTTCTTTTCCTCTGGGTAAATATCCAGTAGTGGGATTGCTGGATCAAATGGTAGTTAACACTTTTATTTCTTTAAGGAATCTCCACGCTGTTTTCTATGGTGGTTGTACTAGCTTATATTCCCACCAGAAGTGTAGAAGTGTTTTGTTACTATATCCATACCAACATCTATTTTTTTTTTATTATTTTGATTATGACCATTCTTGCAGGAGTAAGGCAGTATTGCATTGTGGTTTTGATTTGCATTTCCCTGATCATTAGTGATATTGAGCATTTTTTCCTATGTTTGCTGACCATTTGTATCTGTTCTTTCGAGAATTGTCTGTTCATGTCCTTAGCCCACTTTTTGATGGAATTTTTTTTTTCTAATTTGAGTTTGTTGTATAGATTCAGGATATTAGTCCTTTGTCAGATATATAGATTGTGAAGATTTTCTCCCACTCTGTGGGTTGTCTGTTTACTCTGCTGACTGTTCCTTTTGCCATGCAAAATCTCCTTAGTTTAATTGAGTCCCAGCTATTTATCTTTGTTTTTACTGCAATTGCTTTTGGGTCCTTAGTCATTATATCCTTGCCTAAGCCAATGTCTAGAAGGGTTTTTCCAATGTTATCTTCTAGAATTTTTATAGTTTCAGGTCTTGGATTTAAGTCCATGATCCAACTTGAGTTGATTTTTTTATAAGGTGAGAGAAGAGGATCCAGTTTCATTCTCCTACATGTGGCTTGCCAGCACCATTTGTTGAATAGGGTGTTCTTTCCCCACTTTACGTTTTTGTTTGCTTTGTTGAAGATCAGTTGGCTGTCAAGTATTTGGCTTTATATCTTGGTTCTCTATTCTGTTCCATTGGTATGTGTGCCTATTTTTATACCAGTACCATGCTGTTTTGACAACTATGGCGTGATAGTATAGCTTGAAATCAGGTAATGTGGTACCTCCTGATTTGTTCTTTGGTTTAGTCTTGCTTTGTCTATGCAGGCGCTTTCTTAGTTTCATATGAATTTTATGACTGTTTTTTTTCTAGTTCTGTGAAGAATGATGGTGGTCTTTTGATAGGAATTGCATTGAATTTGTAGATTGCTTTTGGCAGTATGGCCATTTTCACAATATTGATTCCACCCACCCATAAGCATGGGATGTGTTTCCATTTATTTGTGTCATCTATGATTTCTTTCAGGAGTGTTTTGTAATTTTCCTTGTAGAGAGCTTTCACGTCCTTGGTTAGGTATATTCTTAAGTATCTTTTTTTTTCTTTTTTTTTTTTCCAGCTATTGTAAAAGGAGTTGAGTTCTTGATTTAATTCTCAGCTTGGTCGCTACTGGTGTACAGGAGAGCTACTGATTTGTGTACCTTAATTTTGTACCCTGAAACTTTGCTGAATTCTTTTATCAGTTCTAGGAGCTTTTTGGAGGAGTCTTTAGGGTTTTCTAGGTATACAATCATATCATCAGCAAACATCAACAGTTTGACGTGCTCTTTACCAATCTGAATGCCCTTTCTTTCTCTTGTCTGATTGCTCTGGCAAGGACTTCCAGTACTATGTTGATCAGAAGTGGTGAGAGTGGGCATCCTTTTCTAATTTCAGTTCTCAGAGGGAATATTTTCAACTTTTCTCCAATCCAGTATTATTGTTGGCTGTATGTTTGTTATAGATTGCTTTTATTACATTCAGGTATGTCCCTTGTATGCTGATTTTGCTGAGAGTTTTAATCATAAAAGGATGCTGGATTTTGTCAAATGCTTTGTGTTTACTGAAATGATCATGTGATTTTTGTTTTTAATTCTGCTTATGTGGTTTATCACATTTATTGACTTGCATATGTTAAACCATCTGTGGTATGTAACCCACTTGATCATCGTGGATTACCTTTTTTTGATATGTTGCTGGATTCAGTTAGCTAGTATTCTGTTAAGGATTTTTGCATCTATGTTCATCAAGGATACTGCTCTATAGTTTTCTTTTTTGGTTGTGTCCTTTCCTGCTTTTGGTATCAGGGTGATACTGGCTTCATAATATGATTTAGGGAGGATTCTCTCTTTCTCTGTCTTGTGGAAGAGTGTCAAAGGATTGGTACCAATTCTTCTTTGAATGTCTGGTAGAATTCAGCTGTTAATCCATCTGGTCCTGGGCTTTTTTTTGTTTTGTTGGTAATTTTTTTTATTACCATTTCAATCTCACTGCTTGCTCTTCATCTGCTTAGGGTATCTAACTCTTCCTGATTTAAGGTAGGATGGTTGTATCTTTCCAGAAATTCATCCATCTCCTTTAGGTTTTCTAGTTTACGTACATAAAGGTATTTGTAGTAGCCTTGAATGATCTTTTGTATTTCCATGGTGTCAGTTGTAATATCTCCTGTTTTGTTTCTAATTGAGCTGATTTGGATTTTCTCTCTTCTTTTCTTGGTTAATCTTGCTAATAAATACAGGCAACTTTTTAAAGGAGTTTGTTGTGAAGAGGATTAGGGAAATGGAGTCTGAGAATGTATACTGAGAGAGGTTTTTTCCCTTTCTTTAAGTGACTGCTATTAAGGCATACATGTATGCCAGAAGAATGATGTAGTAAAGAGAGAGAGAAAAAGATCCAAGAAAGAAAAGTAAAGTCCCAGAAAGGTAAGAGTAAAGTCCTCAAAAGTTAAGAGAAACGAGTTCCATGCTGCACAAAGTTTGCCTTAGGAGGAGGGACATTTCTATTGTATCTTGAAGGAACAGGTGGACATATATGCAAGTAAAACTGAAGGTAGCTCTCATCTGATTGTGTCTACTTTTTTCCATGAAATATGTAGCAAGGTCATTATTGGAAGGTGGTAGTTGCAGCGTGGAAAGATGGTTTGAGGAGAGAGGTACAAAATGGTTCTCTTAAAGAGTAGGAATATGAATTGACTAGCCACAACAGTTAAACAGTAGATGTTTAATCTCTTTTGAAATGGGATCTATGCTCACAAATTTGAAGTCATTCAGCATGGCTTGCTTGATTTTCTCCACAAATGTTCAGCTACTTAGGTGCAGGCAAGAAGTAAATGGCTAGCTGGGGTTAACCTGAGTTGAGGTTGTAACAGATATCTAGAACAGAAGGAAAGGCAGGTGAAAGGAAATAGATAAGGATTTTAGTTAGCAAGTAGACTGCTAGACTATAGAATCTATGTTGAATAATGAGGAAAGGAGGGGCATGAAAGTGGTGATGGCTAGTGAGTAAGTGGTAAGATGTGGGGACATCCTGATGAGATTAGAGAATTATAATGAAAGTACCCAAGTTAAATGAGTTAGAAGGAAGGATGTCACTGTCAAAATTCTGATTAAATAAGTGCTGTTACTGGTGATAGCAAGATCAAGTGAATGACCGGGTGACTTTGCAGCTGTAGTGGGGAGAACAAGAGGTAACTGTAGATAAAAGTCAAGGAAATGAGAAACCAGGGTGTTGAATGGATCATAGTTGGATATAGAAGTCAGTCACCATAAAACTTCTTTAATTGTAATAAGAGGGAAGAAGACTGAGTACAGAAAAATTAAATTTTAGATTTGGTGGCAGGAAGCTGAGGGAATTTCTGTTTTATGGCTTGCTTACATTTCTCTACAAAGCTGGGGGAATATCATTTGCTGAGAATGGGGGGGTTGAGTAATAGGTTTATGCAGAGTGAACTATATAAATTAGATGCTTACAGAGATTGGAGAAGAAAATTGGGAAAGGTTACTTGTAGTATTAAGAGGCAAGATGAAACTAGAAATAGAAAATTCTAGTAGCACCTCCCTGGTATTCTATACATACACAAAAGCATTTATTACATTGCAGTATAGTTTTATCTATTTCCTGCTCACTGACACCATAAACAACTTAGGGATCAAGACTGTATTTTGTCTTTCTATTCCTAGTGCTTCACAGTGCCTGGTGCTTAGTGAGTACTCAAAAAGTACTTCTGTTGGAATGAATGAATTGGTCATTAAATCAGTGTCTGTGTCTGGGGCTGGGTGTGGTGCTCACAACTGTAATCCCAGCACTTTGGGAGGCTGAGGCAGGTGGATCACCTGAGGTTAGGAGTTCGAGACCAGCTTAGCCAACATGGTGAAACCTCGTCTCTACTAAAAATACAAAAATTAGCCAGGTGTGATGGCACCTGTAATCCTAGCTACTCAGGGGGCTGAGGCACAAGAATCGCTTGCACCTGGGAGGTGGAGGTTGCAGTGAGTCCATATCATGCCACTGTACTCCAGACTGAGTGACAGAGTGAGAATCTGTTTCAAAATTAATAAATAAACAAACAAATAAATAAAAAATCCGTGTCTGCTTTAATGGCATCTAGGTTAGATACCATTCTTAATATTAATACTACTATTGTTACATTGTGACTTCTAGTGACGGCCAAGATGAGAGCAATAAAAGAAAGCTAACAAATTGGCAAGGGTTAATTCCCTAAGTTTCATGGATTTTCCACCTTATAAATTTCACAGACTAAGGACCCGCCTAATATACAATATTCTGGTCATATAATTTTTGCCTCATCATGTTATTGAAAAATAAAAATAGGCTGGGCATGGTGGCTCACGCCTGTAATCCCAGCACTTTGTGGGGCCAAGGTGGGTAGATCACCTGAGGTCAGGAGTTCGAAACCAGCCTGGCCAAGATGGTGAAACCCCGCCTCTACTAAAAATACAAAAAATTAGCCAGGCGTGGTGAAGCATGCCTGTAATCCCAGCTACTCGGGTAGCTGAGGCAGGAGAATTGCTTAAACCCGGGAGGCGGAGGTTGCAGTGAGCTGAGATTGTGCCAATGCACTCCAGCCTGGGCAACAAGAGTGAAACTGTCTCAAAAAAAATGAATAAATTAAAGAAATACATCATTTAAGCAAGGTGTGGTGGCGTGCCTATAGTGCCAGCTACTCAGGAGGCTGAGGCGGGAGGATCACTTGAACTCAGGAGCTTGAAGCTGCCTGGGCAAGACAACAAGCAAACAAAAATAATAAAAATTGTTTAACTTACCTTGCATCAACTCCATCAAATACTTTCTGACACTCACTTCCAATAACTTCTTGCTTGAGATAATACAGCATTCTCACACGAAGCAAAACCCTAAAAACAAGGGAAAATGAATCAAAAGGCATAAAGATATTAATTGTTTAAAATATTTGGCCATGGGGTTAAAATTAGGAAGGAATTTGTGTACAGATTTTAAAATAATGAAATAATAATTACTTCTGATTAAATGAATCTTATTACTACCATATATATAAAGAACTTCTCCAAAATCTTCATAATCATCATTATTTCATATCCAAGTAAGATATAATGAGCTCATTTGGAGGCCAGTTTTATTTATCTGTTGGTGAGAACAATGACACAAGAGGTATCATGATTTGCTTGAAGGATACCTTGTAAAATTAAGATTAGGATTGGCCCTAGACCATGCTGTCTCTGTACTCAAAATCAGCATGCTTAAAGATTATTAATAAATTTAAAACAGTAAACATTTAAAGAGTTGTGTTTAAAATACCCTACTACCTACTTATTACAGTGGTGTTTTATATGTTTTTTGTAGCCTTCATCTTGAAGCAGCTGCTCGGGATTATATTTTCGAAGCCATTCTGCTTTTTGTATATCAAATGAGCTTGTTTGAGTTTTTACTTTCTTCCCTTTTCGACCCCTGGGTACAGGAGCTGATAGGCCTGTTAAAATAAGAAGGACATGTAAAATTAGGAATAATTTCTATAAAAATTTGCAATTTGAAAGATTGTTTCAATGCAAGAAATTTCTGGAGACTTTCTGAGGTCTTTTCAGAGAACTTTAAAATACTAGTAACAATACTGACCCAATCACAAATCAAGATGATGGTTTTATACATATTAAAACATATTTCCCCCAAGTAACTAACAATTCTGCGTCTCATATTAATTATTCTGATTTCCTTTTTGTTCCAAAACAGATTTTTTATTACAAATGTAAAACCCAAAAGATCAAGCCTATGCCCTCTGCTTTACTTTTGCTTTCCTAGATACTAAAAGATATGTTTTGCCCTCCACCCTTGCTTTTCAAAAATGATTTAGATAGATTAGGTTAGCCATCCTGTTCAAGATAGCTAAACTCATTTTAGTTATTTGAGTTATTTGTTGTGAAATATTTAAAAACTACAAAAAAGTACTGCCACTCTCTTCATGTTCACATATTCCATGTTTACTTAGTTTATTTATTTATTTATTTTTTTGAGACAGAGTCTCTGTTGCTCAGGCTGGAGTGCAGCCGTGTGATCTTGGCTCACGCAACCTCTGCCTCGTGGGTTCAAGTGATTCTCCTGCCTCAGCCTCCCGAGTAGCTGGGATTACAGGCACGCAGCACCACGCCTGGCTAACTTTCATGTTGGCCAGGCTGGTCACAGACACTTCGTTTTTTATTAAAGGAAGTAATATATACTTGAAGTCCCTATGTAGTCCTCTCCTATCAAATTCACTCATTCCTTCCCAGAGATTACCACTACTCTGAATTTGTTTTTCCATTCCATGCAAGTTTATACTATTATTACCTATCTTGGATAAGTATTTAGTATTTAAGTTTTCAGATATAATATTATAAATATAAGCCTGAAAACCTTATTTATTACTCTGAACTTTTAAAAGCTTTATCCTGGTTGACTCATAAGGCTCTAATTCATCTATTTTTGTTTCTGTATAATAATTTATTACATAACTATACCACCTCATATTTATTAATCTTCCATCATATTTGAGCTGTTTTGTTTGTAATTTTTCACAATTGTTAATAATGCAGTTTTGACTCCTCCTGCAATTCTTGTATCTCATTTACCTTTTCCTTGCCATTTTATACCAGGTGGGTACTCTACTACAATGGTACATAGAGCACTATATGGATTTGTCCACTTTTCCTTATAATTTTGGCCGAGGTTCTTTTTTTTTTTCCCTTTACCTTTTGAGACTATTTTAGATGTATATAAGTTCATACTTGTTATAGTTTCTTCTATGGATTCTTTTTGATTATTAGGTAGTGTCCCTTTTTTTAAAATTCCAATTGATACCTTCCATCTTAAATTCACTTTGTTCTATGTTAACGGTACTACAACATTTTGTACGGTTTAGTATTTGCATGGTATAGTTTTTACTAAATAAACTTTTAAGCTTGTTTGGTGTTTAATAATATCTCTTTAAAGTACAAAAATGTTTATTTTCCCCCATCTAACAATTTTCCTCTTTTAACAGGTGAAAATATACATAGGCTGCATACATATGTTTATATATTTATTTTTACAATTTTATTGTTTATCATACCTTCCTTCTTTCTGTGTTTTGCTAGAATGATAAATAGTTCTGTATTCCAATCTTCTCTTCCCTTGTTGGTTTGAAAACAGTACATACTTAAAAATACACATGCTTAAATTTTCCTAATGAAATCTGTAGATATTCTGTATTTCCAATTTTCTTCCTAACAAGATTTTCCCAGATTCATCATTCGATCTTCTTTTTACTTTTTCATTTCATTATGTGTTGTTACAATTTATAGGCTTCTGCTTTCACTGTTTTTACAGCACCTTATTCTTTTGAAGTCATGGTATATTTGAAGTATCTTTGAAGATATTAATGATAGTTAAAGAAAAGGTGTCCTCCTTTTTGCAATCCTTGTTTCCTTAGAGTTCGTTTTAATGTTTTTTTTTTCTTTCTTTTTATTTTTATTTTTTGAGACAGAGTCTCGCTCTGTCACCCAGGCTGGAGTGCAGTAGCATGATCTTGGCTCACTGCAACCTCTGCCTCCTGAGTTCAAGTGATTCTCACAACTCAGCATCCCAAGTAGCTGGGATTACAGGCACGTGTCACCATGGCTGGCTACTTTTTGTATTTTTAGTAGAGAGGGGGTTTCACCATTTTGGCCAGGCTGGTCTTGAACTCTTGACCTCAAGTGATCTGGCCACCTCAGCCTCCCAAAGTGCTGGGATTACAGGGGTGAGCCACCGTGCCCAGCCAATGGTTTTTTGGCTCTTTCATGTTGGAGACTTTCCTGAGATGCCTGATAATCCTTGGCTGTGTTTGCTCTTATTTAAGTGTGACAAATAAAAAAGGTGATAGGGAGACTGAAGAGATGGAGCATAGTGATTGTGGGCTCACTGAAGGGTAACTGGCGGTTTTTTTTTTTTTTTTTTTCCTGTCATTATCTTTAGATTTGGGGCGAGCCTTTTAGTTTTATTCCTCGAGCAATGAATCAACCAGTATGCACACAGTTATGTAATCCCTATTTAGCAGCTCCACAACTCAACTACCAGTGCAACCCAGACTTCTATTTTACTCTTTCCAGAAAAAAATTTTTAGTCCATTTTCGTCCTGGCTACATGGAACTGAAGAGGGTATTTAGGGCCCTTTTTAAACCGCTTTGAATGAAAGCCTCTATCCTTTCACACCCACTTCCAGAGGCTCCTGATGTCACAAATTCCTAAGACATTTGGGAAATCCGTAAAGCAAAGCAGTTTGCCTTTCCCACTGCTGACCTAAGATTCAGCTCTCTCAGGTTGGTTAAATCAGTTATCACTAATATATTTGCCTCCAGCTTCCAAAATCTTGTTGCTGTTTCCTCTCCCATTCTCTATCCATTTTTGAGAGTTTATGCTTATTTTAAAATTATAGAATACAAGTATATACAACAGTCCCATTATCCACCTTCAATAATTATCAACTCATGGCCAATTCTGTTCACCCCCAATCTTTCATATTATTTTGAAGTAAATGTAAGAAATCAATCATTTCATTCATAAATATCAAAGGTATCTTTTAGCAATATCTAAAAGATATTTAGTGATACCTAAATTTAACAGAGGTATCTGTTTAGTGATAAAACCTCCATTAAAATAACTACAATACTATTATCAGCCCTAAGGAATGCAATAATAGCTTCTTAATATTCAGTATTCTAAAGTCTAATTAGTTAATAAAGATAATAAAACATTTACTCTGGGTTGTTTCAATCAGGATCTAAATAAAGCCCCCACAGCACTTTAGGAGGCTGAGGCAGGAGGATCACTTGAGCCCAGGAATTTGAGACACACTTGGGCAACAAAGTGAGACTCCATCTCTTACAAAAAAAAAAAAAAATTAGCCAGGTGTGATGGTACACGCCTGTACTCCCAGCTACAGGGGAGGAGGATCGCTTGAGCCCAGGAAGTTGAGGCTGCAGTGAGCGGCGTTCATGCCACAACACTCCAGCTTAGGCCACGGAAGGAGACCCTGTCCCAAAACATAAAAATAAAAATAAAGTCCCCAGACCCCACACTGCAACTGGTTGATAACTTTTCAATCTCTTTTAGGTTATAGCAGGGTTTCATTCTTGGCACTACAATATTTTGAACAGGATAGTTCTTCATTGTGGGGGGCGGGGTGCTATCTGTGAACTCCTGGCCTCTATCCACTAGATGCCAGTAACACGCTCAAAGTTGTGACAGCCTGTGGTAGGGGTGGGATTGGGGCAGAAAATAATCTTTGGCTGAGAATCACTGGGGTAGATACCTCTCTATTCACTCCTAATCCGATAATTTATTTATTGAGGAATCCAAGTCTTTTGTTCTGTAGAATTTATTAAGCTTAGTGCCTTACTTTTTTCTACTGGAGTTTCAAGAAAGAGTGAAATTACATTTGTGTGATTCTCCCATCTACCTCAGGTCTTCACATTAATTAAATTCATCATCTCCTATTAAAATAGGCCTACACTGGGCCGGGCGCGGTGGCTCAAGCCTGTAATCCCAGCACTTTGGGAGGCCGAGACGGGCGGATCACAAGGTCAGGAGATCGAGACCATCCTGGCTAACACAGTGAAACCCCGTCTCTACTAAAAAAATACAAAAAACTAGCCGGGTGAGGTGGCCGGTGCCTGTAGTCCCAGCTACTCGGGAGGCTGAGGCAGGAGAATGGCGTAAACCCGGGAGGCGGAGCTTGCAGTGAGCTGAGATCCGGCCACTGTACTCCAGCCTGGGCGACAGAGCGAGACTCCGTCTAAAAAAAAAAAAAAAAAAATTGGCCTACACTGACCACCCTATCTAAAATGGGTGCTTTCTGTTGTTTTCCATCTCAATAGTTTATTTACTTCACAGTAATTACCACAATCTGTAACTAATGTACAGTCTTACTATGTCTACCTGGTTAGGAGGTAAGGTTCATGAGCTCAGGGATCTTGTCTATCTTGTTTCTTCTTATCTTTTCAACATCTTGCACAAGACACACACCAGGCATTCAATAGATATTTTTTGATTAAATAGAATAACACTGTAACAAATTTAAGGGTATAGTAATTCTTTTTATTTTTTACTGAAAATTTTATGCTATAAAATAATTATTTTATACAAAAAAGAATGTTCTGTTAGCAAGGCTGAGGAGAAAAAAGTATATATCAGAGCATATATCTCTGATAGGACTGTAAATTGGCATAACCATTTTGGACAGCAAATTAAAGCATAATGAAAATTTAGGCCAGGCATGGTGGCTCATGTCTATGATCCCAGCACTTCGGGTGGCTGAGGCGGAAGGATTACTTGAGCCCAGGAGTTCAAGACCAGCCTGGTCTTGAATATATATACCAGGTCTTGAATATATATATACCAGAATATATACCAGTACCTGACTCTACAATATAAAAAATTTTTTAAAAGCCGGGTGTGCTGCTACATGCCTGTGGTCCCAGCTACTCAAGAGGTTGAGGCAGAAGGATGGCTTGAGCCCAGAAGGTCGAGGCTGCATTGAGCCATGTTTGCATCACTCTAGCCTGGGGGACAGAGCAAAACCCTGTCTCAAATAATAAACAAAAATTAAAAAGTATTATGAAAATTTAAAATGCATATCAATGTTTCTCAAACTTTAATATGTACACTAATTCCTACAGATCTTGTTAAAATGCAGATTCTTAATCAGTAAATCTGAGGCCTAAGATTCTGCATTTCTAAGAAGCTTCCAGAAGATGCTGATGCTGTTGACCCAGAGACCACATTTTAGGTAATAAAGATGCATATAAGCTATACTCTAAAAATTCCATTTTTGATATCTACTTTAGTGGAAGATTTATTTTCATGCACAAGGAGGAGGGTACATGGATCTTCTCTGAAACTTGTTTTTTAATTGTCTAAAATTGAAACTACCTAAATAACCATCATTAAAGGAGATATTAAATAAATTATGCAATATCCATACTACAGAATACTAAGCAGAACTTAAAAAATCAGATAGATCTATATGAGCATAGATGGAAAGACCTCTAAGACATTTAGTTGGGTCATCAATTCGAAACAGATACGTATTTGATAACAAAATGTAAAATCCACCAAAGTGATAACATTGGCATTTTCTGAAGCTGGAACTTGAATTGGGAGTGAAGGTTAAGGTTCCTTAATATTATTTGTAATGCTTCTATACTTTATAGGAGAATATGTTAAGTATTGCTTATATAACTAAAAATAAATTTTAAAAGCAAATGAAACAATGTTCTTACCTAGATGATTCTGTAGCTCTCGTGTCTGTCCATCTTCAGTTGGAGTAATGAGATCCCATATGAAACCTTTAATCTTCTCATCTCCTCGGTAGTGAACAAGGCAATATGCTAAGAGGGCTCGGCAAATTATCTCTACATCGTGTTCATTTAGCTGCCTTTTGAAACGGCCATGAGATAGAATCTCTCTCCATCGGCCCCACCTGGTTAAAAAGGGTATAGTTACATTGATATTGAGTGAAGTTCTAGAGAAAAATATAACTCATAAAGACACGAAAAACTAAAAAAAAAAAAATTGTCATTTTTGCTAATTAAGTCTTCCCTACCCATGCATAGAATGTAGAGGAATGGTACAGTAATTTCTAGTATATTTTATTCAGTAATGGATAACATCCAATTCATATTACGGGATGTGCAAATTTAAGAACAAGACGTTTGACTTTAGTGATACTTTGACAATTTAAATACTTAAGGATAATTTCATCATTCTGCTATTACATATATGTTAAAAATAGAAAGTGTACTTTAAAAGTAAATTTTAATGATTCTAAGAAGATAAAAAAATATATAGTAAAAACCAGTATATATTTTCTGTAACATTACCTACCAGACTACTTAGAGCAAACATTAAAAACAATGTTTTACCCATAAACTAGCAGGTTTTTCTCAACTCTAAAGCATTCGGTTCTTCCATAGCCATTGGAACGGTCACAGGGTCTCCGGAGTTTGGGCTTTTCATCTCCTTCACTTTCAGCTTCAGATAATTCAGCCAATTCATCTTTTGTGGCACTAAAAGGTCTTGTTTGCTTCCTAATTCTTGGAGTGTCAATAACCAAGCTGTTCTGTAAAACAGAACAGCTATTACTTGAAGGTATTTTTATGATTTTGCTTATAACAGTGTTCTATATTTTCACCTTGTACAAACAATAATTACAGAAACACAGACAAAAAGAAATTACTAACAATTTCACCAACCTATTCAGTCAACTTAGAATTTCTTATATTCCTTTAGAATTCTTGCTACCACACATGTAAAATTTTATGACATTATAGTCATAGGATAAAAAGAACTTGATATTTTGCATATTAATATAACAGCATTGTAATAATAAAAATATTTTAAACTGAATTTATGCCTTCTAATTTTTCTTTACCTAATTCATAATTTAGATTGTTCTTAATTTTTAAAATAAATAATGCCAAAGTTTATTCTAAAGACAAATTCAAAAGAAGGGAAGTATCCAGAAATGGAAATACTGGTCAAAGGTTATGAACATTTTACAGTGCTTTTCAAAAGACTTATAATAGTACACAAAACACAAGGCAGTTAATTGCATCATCCTCAGTACGTTCAATTCAGTTTAATTCATTCAAAACAATTTAAGTTAACATACTTTTTATTTTTACTGAGAAACTTCTCTAAGCTAGGCACTATGTTATGGGCTGTGGTATAATGATGAGTAAGGCAGTTTCTACTCATAAGGAATCCAAAGTTTTAGTTACACAGACAAATGTGTCACTAAATAAATGCTATTCGGGATGAAATTTTTTATGATACAAAAGGTATCATAGTCAGAGAAAATGTCACAAAGTAGTGATACTAGAAAGACTTACTAAAGAATTAAAAGTAGTTTGCCAGGCAGTCAGGGAAGAGAGAGCATTACAAGCAGAGGAAAGAGCAAGGGACCTGAAATGGCATCAGATATTCAGGAAATGCTTATGTCCTAGAGCAGAAGAGGAAAAATGGTAGGAGAGAAGGCAAGGACCAGACCATAAAGGTCCTGGTATGCCATAATATGTATGGAGTACATTATATTTAAGGGGGCATATGATGTCCTATGATAGGTGATGTTAACTTTTGCCAAGTTTCTCCACTGTGAAGTTACTAGTTTTCCTTTTGGAATTAATAAGTATTTTGGAGGATAAACTTTGAAGACACATAAATATCTTGGGTCTCAAACTTTTACCCACTAATTTTAGAATTCACTGATGGATCTTATATGCTACAATTATTACTATAGTTGATTCATGGTGATTTTTCATTTCCTGCATTCCTTCTACATTTACTAAATGGCATTCTTCCATAAGAAAGAGTTATCCCTTTTCCTCTTTTTTCCCTTCCCAGTTTCCTTAAAAAAACAAAAAACTAATTATATTTTTTTCTTAATTTTCAAATGTCTTTATCCCCAAATCTTTTGAGATTTGATACATTTTTTATCAACTTATATTAGCTTTTATATAACAGAAACATTAACTTTCGTATACACGTCTGCTACAAATAGTGTCACCAGTCTGACTGCACTTTCATTTTTCCATTACATAATTCTGTCTTGTATACATATACCAATCACTTCCTTTGTAATTTCAAGTTTAGAATGTTTTCCCACCCAAATATCTGTGAAAAGAAATCTAACTTCTATTTTTCATGTTTTGATTAAAAAAACACTTAAAAACTTTTTATCACAAATTAGAGTTTACTTGGTACAGAGCATAGGATTATAATGCTCCTCCCAAATGCCAATACAATATCCTAATCACCACTTATTAAATCATCTTTCTTTAGCACTATTTGTATATTTCATAAACTTATACTTTGATCTTTTTCTGTTATCTTATTCTTTGCTTTGTATCTTTGTCAGTACCATACTTTTTAAACTATTGTTTCATATTAATATATTTTATTTAAAAAAATTTTTTTTTAAAGACAGGTTCTTGATATCACTCAGGCTGGAGTGCAATGGCACAATCACAGCTCACTGCAGCCTCAAACTCTTGGGGTCAAGCTATCCTCACACCCCAGGCTCCTTCATAGCTAGGATTACAGACATGCACAACCACGCTTAGCTAATTTTAAATTTTTTTTGTAGAGAACAGGGTCTCTCGCTATGTTGCCTAGGCTGATATCAAACTCCTAGCTTCAAGCAATCCTCCTGTCTCAGCCTCCTGAAGTACTGGGATTATACAGGAATGAGCCACTGTGCCCAGTTGTATTAATATATTTAGATACTTTAACATACAGTAATTTTAGTCTTTATTGTACATTTTCAGAAAAGTCTTTAATTTTTTACAAAAGTATAAACTTTAAAATGTTACTGCACAAGTATTAAATGACTATATGCTTACATAAGTTTATTTACAAAATCCTTAACTCCTTAAAATAATCTACAAAGCCCTGTTGATTTGGCCCATGTCTTCAGTCTCTGACCTCACCTATTACCACCATGCTCACTAACTCTTCACATTCTGCCATAATGTATTTCTGCTTCTAGAATACACAAGCTTCTTTCCACCAGTGTCTCATTGCCATTCCCTCTGCCTCAAAGCTTTTCCTGACATTACAGTGTATTGGCTCTTTCTCATCACTCAAGTTTCAGTGCAGATAATCCTTTTGCAGTGACCTCCCTTCATCACTTTACCTAGTGTAATTCTACCTCTCCAGCATTCTCTACCATCTTACTGCTTTATTTTCCTCACTCCTTAAATTATCTTATATATTTGTTTACTACTTTCTGACCCACCAGGATGTAATTACCAATATATACTGCTGAAAAATCACAAATAGAGATCATATCGTAAGTATCATTCTGCATCTCTCTCTTTCTCTGTCTTGGAGCTGTTAGTCCACAGTATATGGTGCATAAGAATGTCCATTCTTATTATTTTAAAATTATTTTTAATTATTGCATTAGACAGTATGAATGTACCATTGCTCCCGTATAGAAAATTTAGTTTCTAAATTTTTGCTATAACAAAAAATGTTGCAGTGAATATCATTGTACTATATTATCATTGTACATGTATGCTTACTGCTGTAGGACAGATTCCTAAGAGTGCATTAAATATTCTTCCAATAAAAATTTAAAATTATTTTGTCTAGTTATAAGAAAAAATTGTTTAACATTCTGATTTACATTGCATTACATCTATACATTACAATTTCTATGTTTACAAACGAACTGTTAAAATGCTTAAAATATTCCCAATAGACACATCTCCCAACCAAATTTCACTTTACAGAAATCAAACGCAGCTTTCTTTAGGTATATTCTTAAGTGTTCTATATCTTTTTTTTTCTACTGTGAAGTAGATATCCTATTGCATTATATTTTTCTACTTCTGTTAGTACTGATATTTAGGAAGGCTCAATGGCATATTTATCTTCTATCCAGTTAATTCACTAAACTCACTTATGAACTTTTACAGTGTTTTACAGACCCCACTACTTGTTTAGGCATATGAACATGCTATATGCCAATAATATTTTTTTTAATTACCTTTTCATGGTTACTTGTTTCACACAGAATTACATATATTTCCAAAATGCATTCAACAATAATAATTATGCATGGTAGTGGTGTTACTCCTAATTGTAAAGATTTACATTTTAAAAGGCTACCTATCAAAAAAGATCCAATGCATCAGTGCTTAATATAAAATTCCTTTAATCATCTGTTATTTTGATAACTGGTAAGACTCAAAAACATTGATTTCTATGCAATTATTAGACAAGTGTGTCTTAGTAAATAAGCAGTTATGCTACTATTATCAGTTCCATAAAGTCAATTTTAGCATTTTGGCTTTTTCTTAGCTCAAGAGAAGTCGTAAGACAGTTTTAAAAATGCCACTTTCTTGACTCTTTTTTTCTCCTTTTATTTACATTTTACTAGATCATCATGAATGGGTTCTGACACTAAGAAAACATTAAAGAGAAAATAAATGTAACCCATGATTTGAAGACATTAAAAAAATTTTTAAAACATATTATAATTTTAAGAATGTAAATTATATCCAAAAGTTAAACTTTCCCTGTAGGATAACCCATCATGGGAGATAACAGATATTAAATTGAAGGAGTACCTCACTCAGTTCATTCTGCTACCCTACTTCAATTTATATATGCAGAAATTTATTTTAGTAACTGCATAATTGAACACCTTAAAATATTACAATACTATTGCCAAAGTATCCCAAAAGCAAGTTTATTTTAGAGGGATAAAAATACTTACTCTGCCACTGATGGCCTCTATATCTATTTCTGCCTTTTTAGCCCATTTTTGCCAGAAGTTGGGATCATCTAAAGAAATATCTGTCCGGTTTCCAGATGCCACAAAACTCGCCTGAAATACATAATGGCAGTTGTAGAGGAAAAAATCTATCACAAGTACACTTAAAACATTATCTCCTCACATTTACTATGGATAGAATTTGGATTCCACATACTCATACATCAAAGGGTGTTTCAAATTCAGTGGTCTGAAACATAGCACTGCGTCTGCTTAAGGTAAAGGCTTAATGCAAACAGGCTGAAGTTTAGGAGCAGAATTAAATTATTACTGTTGGTTAACTCTTATACTTTTGGTAAGTAAGGATTGAATCTTTCTGGTAAGGAGGCTACACAGAATGGAGGTATGGTTTCTAAAAACACTACAAGATCATTAAGAAATTAGGTTAGAGAACAAGAATTTCCAAATCTGCCTGCACTACAGAGTTAATTTTCGGGTCTATTTCTAGTTTATTTTCATCACATTTTCAGATAGATATATCTCCTAAAGGAAATATAACACAGGATATGGGAAATGAAGGAAAATAAATCATTGTCATTTTAAAAACTCTTTTCCTAAAAACACACAAAAAAGAAAAACTCTACCACAGAAACATTGCATTAACTATTGTAAAAATTTAAGAAAATATTGAGGAGCAAAAGAAGAAAATACAAGTGATTTATTTTCATAAATACTGTGGAAATTATAAAATCTTTTAGTTGGAAGAAACTTTAAAGATAACACTTCAACTCTGTAACCTGTGGTCTAATAACCATTATTTACAACTTAAATCACTGTAAATAGGCCTCATCAAAAAATGTCATCAAAATGCTTTATAAAAGTGAAAGAAGCATTGGACATACACAATGTGTTAAGGGCCTGAAAAATGCATGCCAATTTTTATAAAAATAAATAGAAGAATATGGTCGCATAAAATGATTTTCAAAGGAGAATAGAGGTAAATGGTTTTAAGATAATGCCCAATTATCAGAGATACAAACAAAAGGTAAAAATCTTAATTAAAAAAAAGTCTTGATAAAATTTAAAAGACCCAGAAAAATCCCACATTAAAAAGATAAAAGTGTTAAAAGCAAACAAGCCATTTTTTGACATTCAAGATAACTGTCAGTTTAAGCACTAGGTAATTAATACCAAGGAATTATGTTTTATTTTATTTTTAAATGTGGTAATAGTATTGTAGTTATGTTTTAAAAGTCTTTATTTTTAATGATACATATGGAAACATGTAAAGGTGGTGATATGTGGGATTTGCTTCAAAACAATATGAAAAAGTGGGAGGTGGTGATGAAACAAGTTTAGCAGAAGTTGATAACTGTTGAATACTGTTTGTATTTGTCGCTTAAACTTTATAAAACATCCAGGGCAGGCATGGTGGTTCACACCTGTAAATCCCAACACTTTGGGAGGCCAAGGCAGGAGGATCACTTGAGCCCACGAGTTCGAGACCAGCCTGGGCAACATAGTGAGACTCCCTCTCTGTAATAATTTCTTTTAAAGTTAGCCTGGTGTGGTGGTGCACACCTGTAGTCCCAGCTACTTGGGAGGCTGAGGTGGGTGGGTCACTTGACCCCAGGAGGTTGAGAGGTCAAGCTACACTGGGCCATGATTGCACCACTGCACTCCAGGCTGGTGAGAAAACAAGAATCTGTCTCAAAAAAAAAAAAAAAAAAAAAAAGTCTAAAACACCAAAAATTAAAAGGCTAAATGCCTCTTGCTGAACTTCAGATTCTGTTCATGTTATTGCTTACCAAGTAATAAATGTATTCATTCATTCCAACTAGTATTCTTTTGAGGTTTGGCTTTTAAGATGCTTACATAAAATAAAGCAAATGTTAAATACTGTGTTTCAAAATATGCATTTTGCTGGCATATTTATTAAACAGAAATGATGGGAACAAATGTTTTAATGAATTTAAATTCCTTTTTTTTTTTGCTTTCTCTAAACTATAGCTTTAATATTATAAAACTACTGAAAAACTAATTTTGTATTTTTTTGAACTGATGAATGTGATAAACTGAATAATGGTCCCTAAAGATACCTCATCCTAATCCCTAGAACCTTGTGAGTTTTGTCTTATATGCAAAAGGGACTTTGCAGATATGATTAAGTTAAGGAACTTGAAACAGAGAGATAGCTTGTATTATCCAAGTAGGCCCTAAATGTAATTATAAATATTCTTACAAGAGTGAGACAGTGGGAGATTTGACTCTAGAATAGAAAAAGGATATGACACAACAGAAGCAGAGATGGGAGTACTGTGGCCATAAGCCAAGGAATGCAGGCAGTCTTAGGAAGTGGAAGAGATAAGAAACAGATCCTCCTCTAAAGCTTCCAGAATGAACTAGCCCTACTGACACCTTGATTTTATCCCTGTAAGACTCATGTTAGACTTCTGACATCTAGAACTATAAAAGAAAAAGTTTGTGTTGTCTTAAGCCATGAACCTTGTGGGCTTTGTGATAATTTGTTACAGTGGCAACAGAAAATAGTATGAGACACTCTTAATGAGAAACCACATATTATAAAAACTCATATTCAACTTTTTTTTTTTTTTTAAGAGAAAAGATCTCACTCTGTTGCCCAGACTGGAGTGCAGCTGTATGATCATGGCTTATTGCAGCCTCTAGCTCTTGGGCTCAAACAATCCTCCCATCTCAGCCTCTCACGCCAGCTTGCCTGGCTGATTTTTAAATTTTTTGTAGAGATGGAGTTTCACTTTGCTGCCTAGGCTGGTCTCGAACTTCCAGCCTCAAGTGATCTTCCTGTGTTGGCCTTCCGAAGTGTTAGAATTACAGGCGTGTGCCACCAGTCCTGACCTTCATATCCAACTTGAAAGAACAAAGACTAGTTTGATAAAACAACACAGCTATCATCAGCTATATAAAATAAATATGTTATGACAATTCATCAAACTGGTATAAATGAGTATGAGGAACAGACATCTAACTACATGCAAGTAATTCCCTAACTATTTCAGAACAAATTTCTCACAACTGAGGATATATGATACTTGAATATCTTCATTGTTATAAACATATCAATTTTCAGGAATAGTGAAAAGTTTACTGAATGAAGTTCATAGGGTTTTATTTTGTTCTACAGCTTCAGTGATACATGCCTCTTGAGATTTAACCAATCTGGTAAATGAGTATTTGCTTTACATGAACTGTAGAACATTTAACATGAAAAGAAGGCTGGGCATAGTGGTTCATGCCTGTAATCCCAACACTTTGGGAGGGTAAGGTGGGAGGACTGCTTGAGCTCAGGAGTTTGAGACCAGCCTGGGCAACAAAGTAGACTCCCATCTCTATTAAATAATCAAAAAATTAACTGGGCATGGTGGCATGTGCCCATGTGCCTGTGGTCCCAGCAACATGGGAGGCTGAGGCAGGAGGATCACTTGAGCCCAGGAAATCAAGGCTGTAGTGAATCGTTGATTGCACCACTGTACTCCAGCTTGAGTGACAGAGTGAGATCTGTCTCAAAACAAAAACAAAAAAAAACCCAACAACAAAAAACCAAAAACCATGAGGAACCATTAAACATGAAGTAATTGAAAGGACACAATCAGATTTTAAAGTGTGTTACTTTTTTGGTTGATTACCTAAAAAAAATTATATGCTACAGTATATAATAATTTTTATTCTGCTATCATATAACTATCGATAATTTTAAAAATGTACCTGGAAGAAATTAAATTTCAGAATTAAATAGCTTTTGTTACATTCATTATAAGACAAATGATGAATTTAATTTACAAATAAAACAATTTTAAATTTCTAAATAATCCAACAGGCTTTTGCTAACTGACATGTAACCTATTTACAAGATGACTTATATGATTCTCAAGGATTGTGACAAGCGATTATACCTACCAAAATAAGATGCTACTCCTTACAAATGCTAAATCGTAATATCCTAGTCCCCCCTAAATTTTTCTTCTTAAAATGCATTCCTTCCACCATTAAACCTCTGTATTATTTGCAAGAGAAGACTTTTAAATTGCAAAATCCATCTTCTTATGACAGGCAGTGGTAGAAAGGCAGAAGGTGCCAACTAAAAGCCCTTACAAATAAGCAGTCCACCTGCAGCACAGTTTAGATGGTTTTCATTCCTTCGTAAATTAAGCAATTCAAAGTATTTTGTTCTCTATCAAATTTTTAAAAATCAGACTAAAAATGTTTCTGTTTCTAGGACCCACCTGGCTGCCCTTATAAAAATCTCTCAAAACAAGTTTTAGGGGATATCATCACTCGAAAATGAAGTTATCAATAATGAGTTCTATTTGATGGATATGTACTAAGTCTCATAAGGACCCTGATCTATATATGTAGCTCCTTATTAAACACTATTTGATAATGCAAAGAAATACAGAATGGAATTATGTTATTTCTTCAAATTGTTGAAAATAGTTGGGCAGAGCTGAAGTCTTTGGATCCCAGGAAAAAGTGTAATATACTACTAACTTTACATCATATTCCATTTTGGCAAATGTCCAGTATCTAATAGCATTCCCATACAACTATGGGAATGAACAAATTATTTGGTAAATGAACAAATTATAAAACAACTAGAGCAAACTCTCAACTCTCCTCAGCATTGTGGTACCTTGTCAGCTCTCAAATGTGATAGTTACTTTCTGGTGTGAGGATTTAAAGGAGATATTTAAATGTTTAAGCATTTCTCAATTCTCAAAGCATTAAGAGTATACTTGAATTCTCTAAGTAAAATAAAAGTTAGATAGCACTGTATAATAAAGTGGGAAAGGCCAAGTACGATTATTACAACCTCCTCTTTAAAGACTCAAAGAGGTTAATTGTTCAAGGTCACTCAGCTTATTGAGTCAGAATTCAAACCCTGTTTTTCTGACTTTCCACGATCATTATCATTAACATGTTAAATGAGGAAGCCAAGAATCACATGTGCTTAATAAATGCTTTGCATATGCCTTCATTAATTAAAAACAAAACAAAACAACAACAACTTTAAGGACAGTATCTTTATGTTTGGCCTAATCAACAAGGACAAAAACCATGACCAATACCTTTTGATATTAATTAGATTTCAGATACAAGGAAAAATATCTCTGTACAAAGAGTACAGAACAAAGGAATCAAAACTAAGTAAGATTTCCCAGGAAAAAAAGAGCCGGGGTACATCTACTCAATCATGACCAGTTTTAGTTCTCAGTCTTATACTTTACTTCTGCAATGTTCCTTTTGGAAACAAAAGGAACTACTTTTTTCTAATTTATTCTCTACTAATTTCCAAATCTGTATCCGTGTCCCAGGCAACTCTCCTAGACACCTCCATTTGGATCCTGTAAATGTAATAAATACAACAGCTTCAATACTTTCTTTTCCCCATATGAATGTCCTTCTCTATCTTAAAGACAACCATGACCCTCCTAGCTACTTAAGCAAAAAGTCTTCAAGTCATTTCTGACTCTTCCTTCTAAAAATTTCTAACTGGTCATCAACTCCTATTGATTCAAGTAGGTCTCCATGACCCTGGTTCACCCATCATTATTTCCTACATAAGCCCCTTAAATAATCTTGTTTCTAGTCTTTCCCCTTTCCAACTTGTTCTCCATGCTGCTGCTAGAGTTAAATTTCTAAACCAGATTGCATTATGTCCAATTTCTGCTTGAAGGACTTGAAAAGCTTAACTGCCTTAAGATCAATTTCAAATTCCTCAAAATGGGACATAAAGCCCTTCACAATTGGGGTTCAACTTCCCTAACTCCTTCACCGTTTCATCTCCACGTAATTCATCTCTTGTATCCATACATGCCTATGTCACATTCCTGAAATATTCCTTGTAGTTTAGCAACATATGACTCATTTAGCTGGCTTTTTCTTTCTCTTTGTAAAACAATGAAATTCGCAATTCCCTCAAGACTTAGGTTGAATGTTCTTTTCTTTGCAAAGGCTTTCTTTATTCAGAACATACAGAATTAGTCATCTCCTACTTTATTTTTTTTTTCCAGCAACTATAATCCTTTCATTATAGTATACCTGGCATTTAGCAAAATACCTGACACAAGAATTTATTAGTCCGCTAAATGAACGCAAGCGAGTTTCCATTTGAAGGCTGGTATCATTACTTTTGGTACAGCACCTATACTTCCTGCTATACCACAATATTACCCATAAAGATAAAGAAAGACTTCTGGATTGAAAGCGGAGAGGGGAATGGAGAAGAAGGGAAATGTAGAAAGGAAGTTCAACGGAAAAGAGAAAACTTGTATGTAGTGTTCTGCAATTTGTGCAGGTGAGACAGAATACTGCAATAATAAACTATTCAGATGAATGGAAGAGAGAAGTTCACCACGTCTTGGTTTGGGGAAAAAAAAGGAGAGAGAAAGAAAGAAAAATGGGATATGGCTGGGCGTGGTGGTTCATGCCTGTAATCTCAGCACTTTGGGAGGCCAAGGCGGGTGGATCACCCGAGGTCAGAAGTTCGAGACCAGACTGGCTAACGTGGCAAAACCCTGTCTCTATTAAAATTACAAAAATTACCCAGGCATGGTGGCGGAGGTTGCAGTGAGCCGAGATCGTGCCACTGCACTTCAGCCTGGGCGACGGAATGAGACTCTGTCTCAAAAAAAAAATAATAATAATAATAAAGAAAAAAGGAATAGAAAGGCAATTAGTAAACTTTACAAATATTTTCACCTAACAGCTATTAATGTTTCCTTCCAAAATACAAATTTCATCTTACCCCTTAAGACTTAGATACTCCTGACACCACGTATCCACCTGCCTCGGCCTCCCAAAGTGCTGGGATTACAGATGTGAACCACCCCACCCGGCCAGATGTAAGTATTTAAAATGAAATTGGAAATTCTTTCTCTCCTTTAGGTTCTTTAAATTATGAAAGTTGATGTAAGATGATTTAACCTCTTACATTACTTATATTTTGTTCTGCCTTTGGTATACAGATGTTTAGTTTCTAAATTTGATTTCATATGTTCTACTCTAATATTTAGAACTATTTCTAGTTATTACATTTATTATATTTCACAAGGATCAGAAGAGTTCATGTGAAATTAACATAAGGGATCAGAAAAAAATGAAGGAAAATACATTACCTACTGCTTTTTGGCTAATTCAGTATGTTTAAACATTTGGTGTAAGAGATAAACTTTTTCAGTAGTTAGGATAAGAACATCACTGCTATGTTAATAAAATTGCACTAACTGTTACCTTGGCAAATGTTGACCCACGTCCTTCTGATTCAATTGTAATGGTTTTTGTACGACGTAGTAAAATCTGATCGATATCCTCTTCACAGAATTTAGAGCCTTCATCTTCTTCCTCCATAATGGCACCATAAGCACCTCTTCGAAGCAGATCTTCTATTTCCTTTTTGGAAAGCTGCTGAATCTAAGGAGAAATTAACTTCCATAAAAATAGTTTTTTTTAAAGTTCATAAAATGAGAAAGTATCCCTAAAGGATGTCAAAGAACACAAGAGGCATGCTTAAACTGCATTTGGGTTTGGGATGCACATGAGAGAGAATTCACAGAAATAATATCTTGAAGTTGTTGACTCTTCTTTGCTCTCTTAAAATAAGAATTACCCATCTGCCTAGAATGGCTCTGGTTAAAACAAGGCCTAAGGGTCGGGTAACATCTTTCAAGGTTCTTTTAAATACTAGGATTCTTTATTTTTTTTTCTTTTTGAGACAGGGTCTTGCTCTGTTATCTATGCTAGAGCACAGTGGTATAAATACAGCTCACTGCAGTTGACCTCCTGGGCTCAAGTGAGTCTCCCGCCTCAGCTTCCCAAGTAATGTGGACCACAGGCATGCACCATTATGCCCAGCTAATTTTTATTTTTTATAGAAACAGGGTCTTGCCATGTTGCCCAGGCTTGTCTCAAACTCCTAGGCTCAAGCAATCCTCCTACCTCAGCCTTCTAAAATGCTGAGATTACAGGTATGAGCCATGTGCCCAGCCCAGTACTAGGATCCTATTATTGATAGATATTAGACAAGAACCTTGAGGGAAAAAAGCCAAAATGTCATCATTTGTAACAAGACAAAGCCAATGCTAATAGTTGTGAAACTAAAAAAAATTTGAAAACTGTTTATATAAACACAAATTCTATTTTGCTATGCCATCATATAAATGTCCTAAAAAGAAAGCAAAGAATTTCTATATCGAAAATACATTTAGAATTCATAAGCTCTGGAGCTATACAGAAAGAAAAGGATTCAAACATATTAACTAAACATAGCTCTGTCCTGAAAATGTCCCCCTGCATAAAACAAATGTGTTTAGTATTCTGCATGGACCAAAACTAAATGACACTATTGGAGGTAAAATTAAATGCAAAAACACACAAAAACCTCAAGTAAAAAAGAAAATATACATACACCACCAACATTACTTTCTCTTCCACTCATGCTCTGTAACACAGCTTTATCTAGGCCCAGTTTCAAACTGGCTCGGTCAAACATCTCTCTCTCATATGAGTTACGAGTTACCAGTCTGTAGACTTTAACTGCTTTGTTCTGACCAATTCTGTGGCAACGAGCTTGAGCCTATAAAAATGAAAAGTTACATATTTATTTTCTCAAAAGGCATTTAATAGTAAACTATATGTGTGGTCTATAAACACATGTAAGAATTCTTAGACCATTTTTATTGAATTAATCTTTTTCTAGAAATTAAGGAAGAGCTTACCACAGTAAGAAATAATCCCACAATCAGGAATAAGTTAAAATTTAGCTTTATAAGCTTAAATATCAAAGAATATAAATTCACAAAGGACTACTTTTTTTTTTTTCTTTTTTTTGACGGAGTCTTGCTCTGTCGCCCCAGCTGGAGTGTAGTGGTGCGATCTTGGCTCACTGCAACCTCCGCCTCCTGGGTTCAAGTGATTCTCCCGCCTCAGCCTTCCAAGTAGCTGGGATTACAGGCACCTGCCACCACACGTGGCTAATTTTTGTATTTTTAGTAGAGACAGGGTTTCACCATGTTGGCCAGGCTGGTCTCGAACTCCTGACCTCAAGTGATCCACCCATCTCGACTTCCCAAAGGGTTGGGATTACAGGCATGAGCCACTGCACCCAGCCTTATTATATTTTAATGGAAGTGTAGTCAATATACTTTTAAGCAGGGACACAAAACCTATGAACAGGTTTTACAGTTGATGGCAACTCAAGTTTTTTGTTGTTTTTTTTTAGACATGAGGACTTGCTATGTTGCCCAATAGAACTCCTGGGCTCAAGAGATCCTACCCCTTTGGCCTCTCAAAGTACTGGGATTACAGGTGTGAGCTGCCACTCAAGTTTTAAAATCTAACCCTAAATTTCTATATTTTTTTCAGTTACATTATCAACAATCTTTTCATTGTATTTTATTTAAGCTGGGTAATTTTTTTCTGTAAGTTATTGGGGTACAGGTGGTATTTGGTTACATGAGTAAGTTCTTTAGTAGTAATTTGTGAGATTTTGGTGCAACCATCACCTGAGCAGTATACACTGCACATATTTGTAGTAATTTATCCCTTGCCCACCTCCCACTCTTCTCCCCAAGTCCCCAAAGTCCATCGTACCATTCTTATGCTTTGTGTCCTCATAGCTTAGCTCCCACTTATGAGTGAGAACACATGATGTTTGGTTTTCCATTCCTGAGTTACTTCACTTAGAATAATAGTCTCCAACATCATCCAGGTCACTGCAAATGCTGTTAATTCATTGTTTTTCATGGCTGTGCAGTATTCTATCATATATAACATATACATTATATATATATATATAAAAATTGTGCCACTATAAACATGTGTGTCCAAATATCTTTTTCAAATGACTTATTTTCCTCTTAGTAGATACCCAGTAGTAAGATTGCTGGATCAAATAATAGTTCTACTTTTAGTTCTTTAAGGAATCTCCATACTGTTTTTCCATAGTGGCTGTACTAGTTTATATTCCCACCAGAAGTGTAGACATGTTCCCTGTTCACTGCATCCACATGTTTGTTGGCCATTTGTATATCTTCTTTTGAGAATTAGCCCACTTTTTGATGGAATTTTTTTTTTTTTTTTTTTTTTTCCTGATTTGAGTTTGTTGTGTAGATTCTGATTCTGGATACTAGTCCTCTGTCAGTTGTATAGATTGTGAAGATTTTCTCCCACTCTGTGGGTTGTCTGTTTACTCTGCTGACTGTTCCTTTTGCCACGCAAAAGCTCCTTAGTTTAATTAAGTCCCAGCTATTTATCTTCGTTTTAACTGCAACTGCTTTTGGGTTCTTGGTCATGAAATCCTTGCCTAAGCCAGTGTCTAGAAGGGTTTTTCCAATGTTATTTTCTAGAATTTTTATAGTTTCAGGTCTTAGGTTTAAGTCCTTAATGCATCTTGAGTTATTTTTGTATAAGGTGAGAGAAGAGGATCTAGTTTCATTCTCCTACATGTGGCTTGCCAATTATCCCAGTACCATTTGTTGAATAGGGTGTCCTTTCCCCACTTTGTTTTTGTTTGCTTTGTGGAAGATCAGTTGGCTGTAAGTACTTGGGTTTATTTCTGTGTTCTCTATTCTGTTCCATTGGTCTATGTGTCTATTTTTATACCAGTACCACGCTGTTTTGATGACTATGGCCTTATAGTATAGTTTGAAGTCAGGTAGTGTGATGCCTTTAGATTTGTTCTTTTGGCTTAGTCTTGCTTTGGCTATGCGAGTTCTTTTTTGGTTCTATATGAATTTTAGAATTGTATTTTCTAAACCTGTGAAGAATGATGGTGGTATTTTGATGGGGATTGCATTGAATTTGTAGAATGCTTTTGGCAGTGTGGTCATTTTCACAATATTAATTCTTCCCATCCATGAACATGGGATGTGTTTCCATTTGTTTGTGCCATCTATGATTTCTTTCTAAGCTGGGTCATTTTTGGGGGGGCGGGAACCACCCAAGGTAAATAACTCTGGATATCTAAATTTTATTTAAATGAAGGACAAACTAATTAATATGCATACATGTTAAAAGTGGAGACATCAGAGATCACATAAGGGCTTCATATTTTATCCTGAGTTCCTACTAAACCTAAACTTTTTATGATAAATCTTGACTCCAGATATTCTATAGAATCTAGTTTTTCTCCCAAATTACTAATCACTTTTCCATTATCTTCAGACAAATTAAATCATAAAATGTGGCTTTAAAATATATAGGGGCACTGATGTTATGCCCCTTGTTGACATTTGTATTCTATCCACATCCATTTTGTGCCATTTGGAACCCAGGACTGTGCCATTTGGAACCCAGGATTGTAAATGGGCAACTTTGCTCTAGGTGTAGAGGAAGTACAAGAGGCCAAATATGATCTTAGTCCATAAAGACTGGATCTACATTAGCAGTCAAATAGGAAAAAACAAGTGACAGGGAGAAGTTGGGAGATTCAGGATAGTTTTTCCACTTTCTATTCAGGTTCTATAAAGTGACTTTATTATTATAAATTAACTTTCAGAACATCCACTGTAGGCAGTTATAAGTACAAACATGCATTTCAAAGGCAGACAATTATAATTTGGGTTTAACATAGGAATTGGGAAACTACAGCCTGTGGACCAAATCTGGCCTGCTAACTAAGAATGGCTTTTTTACCTTTTTAAAGGATTATGACAAACAAGAATGTGTGACAGAGATCTTATGTGGCACACAAAGCTTGAAATATTTACTAATTGAGCCTTCCACAGAAAGAGTTGGTCTCTGGCTTATTGTATTAATTTTGGATAATCTTTTGATATTTTAAAGTAGATTACATATAGTTATATAAATGAGCAATTTAAAATATGTTTTAAGCTATGTAGATTCTCAATAACCATTTATTATATTTGTTTTTATGCTTGCTTAAAAAAATAATATGGCTGGTCTGCAGGTAGTTATTTAATGGGTTGTTCACTTTTACAGATTGAACTCTACTTTTCCCCTTCTCATGACTACACTTGACTAGTTTTATAAAAAAAAAAGTACTAATATGAATTGCAATGCAATTAAGACAATGATGAATAATAAAATAATTTCTCTTATATTTTGTTCTCTTCTCATATCCTTCTGCAAATTTAGACCCTCTTCAATCACTGTAATTAATATTCCTATATTTCTATGTAGTCCAAGTATAGTCATTACTTATATGTGTGCCTTCATTTTCTTAAGTATTTTATTAAAAAAGCATACTATGATTACAAGATAAAATTAGAATAAGCGAGTATTTATTTTTAAGGATTAAAATTCTGAAATTTTAATTTTATTACAAATAAGTTATTCTTAAGAGCTTAGGTCTCTCTCAAATTTACACATTATTATTTAAACTATAAGAATATCAGGCCAGGCATGATGATGCATGCCTGTAAACCCAGCACTTTTGGAGGCCAAGATGGGAGAAATGCTTGAGTCCTGGGGTTCAAGACCAGCCTGGGCAACATAGTGAGACCTCATATCTAAACAAACAAAAATTACTGTACTCAAATAGGTATAACTTTTTATAAGCTAGTAAGACAAATTTTATAAGTCAGTGAGACACATAAAAAAGTAAAAATTTTTTGTCATCATAGTTTTTATCATAACAATTAAAATAATTTCACCTATTTTATTTGGCACAGATATTTTACAGAGAAACATACATTAGTTTGTCCAGATAAAAATACAAGATGTGGATTATCAAAAACAGTTACACAATTTTACTTTTTTAAAAAATGCATTTCTTGTTAGCCAAGGCAATTATTTACCTGAAGATCATTCTGAGGATTCCAATCAGAATCAAAAATTATACATGTATCAGCTGCAGTTAAGTTGATGCCCAACCCACCAGCTCGGGTACACAGGAGAAAAACAAATCTATCTGAATCAGGTTTACTAAATCTATCTATAGCAGCTTGCCGAAGATTTCCTCTGACTCTGCCATCAATTCGCTCATATAAATATCTATGGAATGAAATGGAATAAATTTACATAAATAATTATAATAAAATTGAAGACATATTCTATCAAATGGAAAGTCAGTTTTCCTGCAGCATTATGTTTTCTCTAAAATTAAGAAGCAATATCATCTAAATTAGTTTCTGTGACTTTATACTTTTTGGTGTTGGTGCTACGGAGAAAACAAAAACAAATATAAAGATACAAAACCTCTGAATTCCTGGATGTATGGGTAAAAGACCACTACAATGAATTTTATTTCAGAAGTTAGAATAACAAAAGGCAGTCTATTAAAAACTGCTTTGCTGATCTCACCATAATACATCACTTTCTTGCAAGAAATAAAGACTTTCACAAAGACTTTATACAAGAAGGCTATGAACGTTTCTTTTGTCCTTAATCCATAATACTACTGACTGACATACTTGCTTCTATATTGCAATCTATTAAGAACACACTGGAATGCTGTTGAATTCTTTATAGTCATTACTGCAAAGTAATTATCTTTTAACTTCCTTTATCCTTCCCCATTTAACATATACAAAACTCAAAAACTGCAAGACATCCAATGAAAATAAAATAGATAAAAATTTAGGAGCTTGGACTCTGAGTGGTATACATATGACATATGACACACTTCTACATATGATTTACTAGAGTTTTAGCAGTCACCCCACGATTATCTCTGGTACCTGCAAAATGGACGAAAGACTTCTAATAATGTTTCTTATGAGAATAAAAGAAACTCTGAATTTTCCATGAAATTTATTACAATAGAAATTTATAAGTACAGTTTTATCTGTATAAGTTCTCCATGTAAGGAGATTAAAAAAATGTAAGAATTACTATTTTTGGGAACAGTGCAACTTAATGTTCATATCATATGATATAAAATTGAGAATAATATACATTTTAAAATGAGGCCAAAGAGTAGGACATTGACATTAAAAATGGAACCAGAAATAAAAATGAAAAATAAAAATGAACTACACAATCTCTAATAATATAAAACAGTATAGACCTTTACTTATCTATATGGGTTAAAATCTATTGAATTAAAATCTGCAAGTCAGATGCGGTGGCTCATACCTATAATCCCAGCACTTTGGGAGGCTGAGGTGGAAGAATTGCTTGAGCCCAGGAGTTTGAGACCGGCTTGGACAACACAGTGAGACCCTGTCTCTATCAAAAATAAATTAGCAGGGTGTGGTAGTGCATGCTTGTAGTCCCAGCTTCCTGGGAGGCTGAGGTTGGAGGACTGCTTGAGCTCAGGAGTTTGAGGTTGCAACGAGCTATGGTCACACCACTGCACAACAACCTGGGCAACAGACTGAGATCATGTCTTTAAAAAAAAAAAAAAAAAAAAACCAACAAAACAGAAATAAAAAATAAACAAAAACAAAACAAAAAATCTACAGCTGAAATTTCTGATTCTCTTTTACATTAATATGTTACTATCAGATGGAATCCTAATGGTCTGATAAAATATCCTATGATAATTAGCCTATTATAGCCTAAACACTGATTAGACAATATTTTATTTTATTTTATTTTGAGATGGAGTCTCGCTCTGTCGCCCAGGCTGGAGTGCAGTGGTGCGATCTTGGCTCATTGCAAGTTCCAACTCCTGGGTTCACACCATTCTCCTGCCTCAGCCTCCTGAGTAGCTGGGACTACAGAGTCCCACCACCGCACCCGAATAATATTTTGTAGTTTTTATTTTTTTTTCAGTAGAGACGGGGTTTCACCATGTTAGCCAGGATGGTCTCCATCTCCTGACCTCGTGATCTGCCCGCCTTGGCCTCCCAAAGTGCTGGGATTACAGGCATAAGCCACCGCGCCCCGCCTGATTAGACAACATTTAATACTATCTTATTGTGATGTACCAATAAACAAAACAAAAAACACACATTGAAACAAATCAGAAAATATGAAAGCATGAACAAATTTTATATAATATATAATAAAAGTCCCACAGCTTAAGGCTCTAATTATAACAATGAAATAGATCCAAAGGTTCTTGAATCACTTTTTTCAGTTTTGAGGATGACTGCTGTAAATATAAGTCTATTTAAAGTTTCATCCACAAGGTTTATTAATCAAGTAAAATGTACATTATTAAACCCATTCCTGGGTCAACAAATCAAATATTTATTTGCAAGCTTTTCTTAATTGGACTCCTCAGGCACATCTAATATTGCAACATATGCAGGTTAGGAAAACATAACACACAATCCTAAACAATCTTTACTTACAAATTTGAATGCATTATTCTAATATAGGATAAAAGAAAGATATGAGTAAAGTTCATTTACATTACAGTGCTGCACAAATATTAATAGCACAAACTTAGCATAATTCATAGTATAATTCAGTGGATTACAGTATGCTTTACCTTTTATGTATGAGATAGTCCTCTAGGATGTCAAGGCAGCGAACCATCTGAGAGAAGATGAGCACTTTATGACCTCCGGCTTTCATTTTGGGAAGCAATTTATCAATAAGGACCAATTTACCAGCAGACTGAATCATTGCTTGAAGATGAAAATCAGAAGCAGCTGGATTATATGCATCTCTAAATTCTCCAAGTATTTTCTCCTCAGCACCTGTCAAAGAAATAGGAGAAGGTAATAGCAATGCACAAATGCAGGAAATTCCCAATTGCTTTCCTTTTAATCAAAATTAGTGCTCCTGTGTGCTTTTGTAACATAATTTTCTAATGGCATGTACATTGCTTTTATTAGAATTATTTATGCTTGTTGCTGAACCTTCACCAATACCAGACTGTAATTCCATTGAGGACATAAACAATGTCTTAAACATCTTTTTATCTCCTCAGACACCTGGCATAATACCTTGTATAAACTTAAGTTTGCTAAATGTTTAATCAATGCTATTAGGGAAAAAATAAAACTGTGATCCTAACTCAGCTGGTAAACACATATATTTTTAAACATCTAATATTTAAACAGCAATCATAATAGTGGTCATCACTGAAGGACGATCATAGTTGATCTGGATGTGTCTATGGGCATCTTGTTAGCCATCAAAACAAGGAAACAAGAAAAAATTAAGGCTAGGTGCAATGTCTCGTGCCTGTAATCTCAGCACTTTGGGAGACCAAGGCAGAAGGATTTCTTGAGGCCAGTAGTTTGAGACCAGTATGGGCAATATAACAAGACCCCATCTCTACCAAAAAGAAAAAAAAGAAATCAGCTGGGTATGGTGGTGCATATGGCTAGTTACTAGTTACTAGTTCTAGTTACTAAGGAGGCTGAGGCGGAAGGATCAGTTTCCAGGAGCTTGAAGCTACTGTGAGCTATGAACACACCTCTGTACTCCAGCCTGGGAGATAGAGTGACATTGTATCTTAAAAAACAAAAACAAAAACAAAAACAAAAGAAAAAAAAAAAGAAAAAGAAAGAAGAAAGGCCGGGCGTGGTGGCTCACGCTTGTAATCCCAGCACTTTGGGAGGCTGAGGCGGGCAGATCACAAGGTCAGGAGATCGAGACCACGGTGAAACCTCGTCTCTACTAAAAATACAAAAAAAATTAGCCGGGCGCGGTGGCGGGCACCTGTAGTCCCAGCTACTCAGGAGGCTGAGGCAGGAGAATGGCGTGAACCCGGGAGGCGGAGCTTGCAGTGAGCCGAGATCGCGCCACTGCACTCTAGCCTGGGGGACAGAGCGAGACTCTGTCTCAAAAAAAAAAAAAAAGAAAGAAGAGAATAAATTAAAATGAAAGCCATGTTACAGGTCCTTGATGCATACTTCCTTCAGATAATCCAAATCAGAATTAAAGAGGCTCTCCGTATTCCTTTCCTCAGCCTGTCTGGCCATAAGAGAGTACTATAACTACAAGAGACTTCAGCTGTCTTGAATGAAGTGAGTAGAGAGAGGTATATTCCCAAGAATAAGTGAACAACTCAAATATTGTACAGAGAGAACACTGGGAGAGAACCTGATAAGATCTTAAAAAGTAACATTATTACAGCACAAGAACTGAAACACTAACTGATGTATCTAGACTGGAAGGAAACCAGGAAAAAAATGGAAATGCAGAAGCCCCCAAAATGGGTTTTGCTGTCTTTGCCCATGAGGAGGATTAAACAAGCAGACAAATTCTAGTCCAAATTATACTGAACAAACTGCTGCTGAACATAACCTGGTGTGCTAACATCAGTCACTGTAACGAAGTAGTTCACATTGCCTCTGATTCTGTAATACTTGTAATTCCTTAGACTATCACAGTAGAGAGTCATAACAGCCACTACAGCTGTAGTGTGTTCTGTTTATTTATTCATTAGTATTTGTTGCAAGAAAAATGTATTTGTTATAATCTTTCTTAGCTACCTTTGATAAGATATGGATGATTACAGCATTTCCTGAGCTCCATCATGGTATTGACCAAGTTAGGTACATTAGTTTGTCCTGCTCCTTTGGATAAAAAAGAAAAGTTCTTTTCCAAGATAGCCCGGTAATATTTCTTTTGAATATTAGTAAGTTCTACTTCAATGATGGTTTCTTCTTTAGGTGCCAACTTCTTTTCCACATCTTCTTTTAATCGTCTCAACATCATTGGTTTCAGGATAGCCTGAAGTTTCTGTACCTGAATGAAAAATGATAAAAAGACATATAACATAAGTGAGCATTTAATGACACATACAAAATAATTACAATGATAAGAAATGTGATGAATGTATTTACAAAGAGCAATAGGATACCTGTTCCTCTGTTTTCAGATCCCCAAATTCTTGCATAAATGTTGATTCAGAAGGAAACCTTAAGGGTTCAAGAAAGTGAAGAAGACTAAATAGTTCTTCAACTGTATTTTGGAGAGGTGTGCCAGTCAAAAGCACCTTGTGTTCCTACATAAAGTGAGAACAATTCACATCAAACATCACAGTACTATAATTATATGAAAGCTGACTTAGGTTATCAAATGTTCAATATGCAAATATTTTTCTGACTATATATATATATGTATATATATATATATTTTGTTTGTTTGTTTAGAGACAAGGTCTTGCTGTGACACCCAGGCTGGAGTGCAGTGATGCCATCATAGTTCAGCATTACACGTACAACATAATTACAATGATTAGAATAAATTACAGTGGTGCCACTGTAACTTTGAACTCCTGGGCTTAAGGGATCCTCCTGCCTCAGACTCCCAAGTAGCTAGGACTACAGGTATGCACCAAAACACCTGGCTAATTTTTACATTTTTTTTTTTTTTTGTAGAGATGAGGTCTTACTATGTTACCCACCTGGTCTCAAGTTCCAGGTCTCAAGTAATCCCAAAGTGCTGGGATTACAGGTGTGAGCCACAGTACCCAAACTCATAATTTTCAAGAGTTAACTCAAAAAACTACATCTCTACCCACAAATCTTTAGGAATGTACTTTCCCAATCACTTTTTAAAAACTCTGTATCATTCTGAAATACTTCACTTTTTATGCTATTCATGCCTTTAAAAATTCTAAATAATTTTAGAAGAAAAGAAATCAACATTCTAAGAATAAAGAGGGCATTTTTTCTTTTGTACTCAAACATTCTTAGTATGGTAATTTGTACACCAAAGAGTGCTCATTATTTATAATTTGGATGATCATCATTTAACTCTTCAAACATGAATGAATTATCAAATCACTGAGGTTACAATACAAGAATGTAAAGGGCTAATTGACACATGCTTTGAAACTAGAATTCCTTAAAAATTAAACATAATAGTAAAAGAAGAAAATGAACATAGAATATTTTTAATGGTAGTACAAATTATTTAAAATTTTATTTGACAAAACCTCTAAATTCCCATGCTAAATATTTTTATATGCATCTGTGAATCTGCATATTATGTATATGGTAGCAAATGGCCTAGAAAGATAAACAGGAAACCATACTGGAATGAGGTGTTGAACTGGGTGTGTGGCATAGATAAACAGGGAGTAAAAAGGAACACTTTAAGTTTTTACAGAATGTGGTTCTTTGTATTTGAATTATTTGTTCAAGTGCTCATGTAGTAATTATGTGATCTTAATTAAAAATCAAAATGTTTAAAAAATGCTTTCATTTGAAAGAAGCAAACAACTAACAAAAAGATGACTATAAGAAATCCCATTATTAATTATAACCAACATATGTTAAACATGTAGAATTGTGTAGGACTTTTTATCATAAATGATCTGAATAATACAACTTCGGTAAAGGGGCTTTCTATTAAAGAATTTATGGCTTAAAACTTACGGTCTTGGCCGGGCACAGTGGTTCACGTCTGTAATCCCAGTACTTTTGGAGTCTGCCGAGGTGGGCGGATCACCTGAGGTCGGGAGTTCGAGACCAGCCTGACCAACATGGAGAAACCCCATCTCTACTAAAAATACAAAATTAGCCAGGCACGGTGGCACATGCCTGTAATCCCAGCTACTCGGGAGGCTGAGGCAGGAGAATCACTTGAACCCGGGAGGCAGAGGTTGCAGTGAGTGGAAACTGCACCATTGCACTCCAGCCTGGGCAACAAGAGAGAAACTCCATCTCAAATAAACAAACAAACAAACAAAAAAACCCAAAACCTTATGGTCTTATTTTCTTTTAAATAGTACATTCTCTATAGAGGTCTTATTTTAAAAATTAATTACTAATGCTTTTTGAAGGAAAGAGCTAAAAAATTTGAAGTCGTAGGACACAGAATCTTTTTCTTACAAATTAAGGCCAAAAAAAAAATCTATATTATCATAGATAGGATTCAGATGTACTTATACTCTAAAATTAAAAAGAAAAATTTTGCGGCTGGGCGCGGTGGCTCAAGCCTGTAATCCCAGCACTTTGGGAGGCCGAGACGGGCGGATAATGAGGTCAGGAGATCGAGACCATCCTGGCTAACACGGTGAAACCCCGTCTCTACTGAAAAAATACAAAAAACTAGCCGGGCGAGGTGACGGGCGCCTGTAGTCTCAGCTACTCGGGAGGCTGAGGCAGGAGAATGGCGTAAACCCGGGAGGCAGAGCTTGCAGTGAGCTGAGATCCGACCACTGCACTCCAGCCTGGGCGACAGAGCGAGACTCTGTCTCAAAAAAAAAAAAAAAACTTTTAGTATTAACTCTATGACCTTTTACTACACATCTAATAAACTCAATGGTCATAATGATAATATTAAGTTACTTACCAGATTCATGAGTTTCAGGCCCTCTAAGAGTTTACAATTTTTATTTTTTAACCTATGTGCTTCATCAATAATCACACATCGCCATTCAATTGCATTAAGCTCTCCACAGCCTCCAAGAATCATTTCAAAAGTGGTGATGATAGCTTGGAATCTGTAAGCTCCTCGAATGATACGCCCCTAGAAATGATCAAATATAATTATTTGCTGGAATATTTTAATTGCATATTTTTTATTCCTGTCAAATGGTATCTGATAACATGTTATAAAATATTTCTAATGAAATTTTTACATATGCAGACACTCCCTTACAATGAAAACTTTTATCATTGAAACTGTATTATATTGCTATGTTCAATAATGTTAAAAATTATGCCAACATAATTATATTATTAACAATTGTATCCAAATGAGTATTTCTTGGTAAAATGTTTTATGATAATTTTAAGAATTATAATAATTTTAGGCAAGAAATAAATCATGATAAAATCTGGCCAATGAGATTTCAGTATTCTTATTACTTACACCAATGAGTTCAAAAATATAACAGCAAATAAATAGTGAATAATTAGCCATCCAAATACTTTATTCAGCAGATATTGAGTATCCATGTGCCAGACCCTGTTCTAGTTGCTGGAGATACAGCAGTAAACAAAACAGATAAAAATAATTATCCAATTACAACTTATATTCTACTGAATCAAATGCAGGACACAGTTATTAAGAAAATAATTTTTAAAAAAGTAAATTAGAGATAAGGCTGTGGAATAAAATAAAACAAGGATGTGGGATAAGAAGTATAAGGTTGGAGGTGACCACTGCAGTTTTATATAGAGTGGTTGGGAGACCATTAGTGCAATGTGATATTTGAGGAAAGATCTAAAGATGAGGGAAGAAGTCATGTTGATATCTAGAGATCTATAAATAAAGCATTCTTGGTAAAAGAAGTAGTAAGTATGAAGGCCCTAAGGTAGGAGTATCTTTGGCAGCATTCAAATAGCAAGAAAGCCAGAGTGTTTGAAACCCAGTGAGTGGGGGAGGCGATGTGGTCAACTGCAGGACTTGAAAACTGTTATACAAACTTTGGCTCTGAGCAAGACACTATTGAAGGGGTTTGTAAGAAGTGTCCTGATTTGACTTGTATTTTTTAAAAGTCCCTTTGGCAGTTGTGATGAAACCTGTCTGAAGAGGCCAAGGACAGGATCATGGAGAACAGTTAGAAAGCTGCCATAGCAATCCAAGCAAGAAATCTTCATTGGAGTTCAGAGAAGTGGTCAGTTCTAGATACATTTTGAAAGTAGAGCCAACAGGATTTTCCAATGGTTAAGTATGGAGTGAGATACAGTAGGGCCTCAAATTTACCTCTAAAAATTTTAGCTTGAACAACTGGAAGTTCATGTTGTTATTTACTAAAAAGAAGTAGTTTTGGATTTTGATTTTGTATATTTTAATTTTGAGACCTCTATTAGACATATCCATGAGACTGCTGTTCGACATATCCATGTACATATTTAGTAGGCATTTGGATATGACTCTGGAATTTAGGAAAGAGTTTAGAGTTGGTGATACAGGCTTAGGAATTTCAGCAGTACAGATGGTATTCAAAGTTACGTGTATGAATCAAATCTGTGAGATAATGAGTATAGATACAAAAGAGTTTGAAGACTGAGCCCTGGGTTACCACAGAGTTTAGATACAGGGAAGATAAGAAGGAACCAATAAAGGGGGCTTGAGAAAGAATAAGTGGTGATGTAGGAAAGGATGAAGTCTTGGAATCTAAGTGAAGAGAGTGTTTAAACAGGGTTGAAAACATAAGCTATTGGGTATTAAGTGAAAAGAAGGGATAAGAACAGTTGGGTATTCTGACATAGATTTTAATTAATGTTAACCTAATTAATTTTAGATTAGTTATTATTAATTGTGTATACTGGCCATTAAGTTGAATAACAGCTGCAGTAGAATATTATTAAAATAGGTATAAATTATATCTATGACATTTATGCAGCTCTAAAAACCTGGGATATAATATATTCAGTTAAGCTGATATCACAGTGTTTAATAACAAGGGCTCTTGAATCTGACTGGTTTGAGTTTATTAATCTTGGTTTTGTACTGTGATTTTGCAGCAATCTACGCAACTTCTTTAGCCTCAGTTTCCTCATGTGTAAAATGGAGATAATACTGCCTATTTTACAAGGTTGATATTACAAAGATTAAGTGAAATAATATGTGTAAACTGTTTAGCATAATGCCTGGCACATGGTAAATACTCGATAAATGTTTGTGGTTATTAGTTTATCACTTCTATTACTTTTCCCAGGGCAATTTAGAAAAATTTTAGCATAATTTTAGTACTACTGTTATTTCAAGCTATTTGATAATGTAAAAAAAACAGAAGTTAAATATTCACTTAATTTATATGAAAATATATTTGAAAGAGTTAACTCTAAAAGTTATTTTTATATTTGAAGTACAGATCTATTTATCTCATTACAGGAGACATCTTTATCTTTTGAAATTTAAAACCTCTTTAGGTAACATATCTAGAATTTGTAACATTTATCATAAAAATACAATATTTAATATATACAAATCAGTTTATTACATATCAAGGATCTTCCAAGTTTTTGGCTATCATATTTATGCCAAACTCATGTGACACATACATTAAAATTGTAACTTTGTTAAAAATCTCTTTAAGTCTCAAGATACTAGTTGTGCTTTCTGTAAAAAATAAGAATGTCAAATTAAATAATTTTTATGACAACATACAGCTCTAAAATTCTACAAATGTATGAATAAGAAAAACAAAACACTAGGCCAGGTGCAGTGGCTCCTGCCTGTAATCCCAGCACTTTGGGAGGCTGAGGTGGGAGGATTACTTGAGTTCAAGACCAGCCTGGGCAACAAACTGAGACCCCATCTTCACAAAAAAAATAAAATAATTAGCCAAGTGTGGAAATGCACTCCTGTAGTCTCAGCTACTTGGGAGGATCACTTAAGCCCAAGAGTTTGAAAATTGATAAATTAACTGATTTTGTTCCTGTTCCTCATTTTGCTTCCTACTTCCAAGGTTGAAACAATTACATTTATACGAAATTAAGCACCTATATAATTAATTATTCTTCAAGTGAAAATAGTCACCTTTGCACCTTTGGAGTCCATGATACCTTAATTAGATTATAGTTTGATTCTTTTCCTTTTTTTAGGGAAAGGGTCTTGCTGTCACCCAGGCTTCAGTGCAGTGGTGTGATCATAGCTCACTGCGGCCTCAAACTCTCGGGCTCAAACAGGTAGAAAATCGTTATTACTGGGAGACAAAAGTAGAAGGCTATGCACATTATCTTACTTCAACCTCTATCATATCACATAACCTGGTCATGTGTTATAATGATCCTTTTAGAACAACAGAATGAGTGAAAGAAAAAATACTAAGGTGCTTTTAATGTAGGGTGCCATTTTCCATTTAAAAAGTACCCTTTCTGTGAATTGTGTTTATTGATTTAATTATTTCTTAATATTTTAATAAAATGATTCATATGAACATTCAAGACCATGACTTGGCATTTCACGTTTTCTTTTTTAAAAAAATTTTTTTTTTTTTGGTAGAGATGGCATCTTGATATGTTGATCAGACTGATCTGGAACTCCCGGCCTCAAGCAATCCTCCCACCTCGGCATCCCAAAGTGTTAAGATTATAAGTGTGAGCTACCATGCCTGGCCTATGTTTTCTAGTCTTAACTTTCTGCTAGAAAATTCTTAAGTTGTCATCCCTTTATTTTATGATCTATGTATTTAGAAGGGATAGAAAATCCCTTCTTAAAGAGTAAGTGGTCAAAGTAAAACAGAAAATGCTCCTCTAAAATACATGGAGAGAGGAATATCATCAAACCACTAGAGTACTGAAATAATCAATCCTAAGGAGAAAATGATGGAGGTATAACTGTTTTGGTAAGCAAAACAAACCACATTTTAAAAAATGTCTAAAATAAAAATCCATTGAACATGAAAGAGAACCTATGGTCTCAACTCAACAGGCATTTAAGCCTGTGGTATCAGTGAAGATTTAAATTTTTAAAATGATGGGAAAAAAGCTGGACAATGATCAGAGACAGTTATTACTCTAAAAATAAATCTAATGTGTATTTAGAAACAATTAGTAAAATTATTATTCTAGTTGAAAAATTAAGAATTACAATGAAACTTGTGCATTGTTTAAATCTGCATACTTCATTATAGTTAACTAGGGCATTAAACTGACTTTTCTCATTGTTCTCTTCAGCTACTCAAATTTACTGTAAAATAAAAATGATGAATAAAAGAGCTTGAACTAAGATCTAGGTAGGCAACTAAATGTATCCTAAATTTGAAAATAATTGGTAGGTAATACTTATCTTTTTCAGCCCTGACCTTTCAAACAACAAACAAAATAATAACACACCTGTGAATCCCTGAAGTACATCTCGTATTGCTGTATCATCTGTCTGCTAATCAGGCTCCCATGATAAACCACAACGTTAATATCAGTCCACGTACGAAACTCTCTCTCCCAGTTTGCAATAGTAGAAAGTGGAGCAATAATCAGGAAAGGTCCTCTTATACCAGTCAGAAGGATTTCGTAGAGGAATGTAATTGATTGAATAGTTTTGCCAAGACCCATTTCATCTGCTAAAATGCAGTTTCGTCTGAAATAAACAAATACATTATCCATGCATACATTGGGTTTTTTTCTATACTTTAAAGATAAATATACAAAGATAATCAAAGATCAAATAAAATAGTTGTATTTATAAAAATGTAAAAGTTGCTTAAGTGCAGAGTAGGCTTAAGATTAAAATTTTATTAAAATCCTGCAAAGGGACACCTAAGGATTTCTGTAGCTCCAAAATAAGGATACCACCCATTAGATGTTTGATTTTTTAAAAAAGAAAAGGGAAGGGCAAGGCCAACTCAATATATTATTTGTTCAGGAATCATTTAATAAATACCTTCTATATCTAAGGACAGTATGAGAAGACAGGATACAAAACAAATAGAACATGTTATCTGCCTTTCAGGGGTGTATATCTATTACAGAAGCTGACATGCAAATAAATAAATAGTCATGCAATGTGCTATCACTGAAGCACAGATAGAGCACTGGTTTTCAATTGTGGCTGCACATCAGAAGAGCTCACAAAGCTTGAAAAAAAACCCCAGATACTCAGGCCCCTCCCCTATACATTCTGATTCAATGTATATGGAATAGGATAAAATCAGTTATAATTTCAAAAGTAAGCTTCACAGATGATTATGATATGTTGGTCAATTAAGAATCATCAGTATGGTTTATTATGGAGGCTTGAAAGATTAAGCCTCAACTCTGGCTAGAAGAGATGAAAGAAGACCTCCTTCAGAAAGGAGGTCAGTAATGAGTAGGATTTTTGCCAGAGAGCATAGTGAATGAGCAGAAGTGTGAAGAACATGATGAACTGAGGGACCAAAAGTTGTTTTCTATGGTTTGGAGGAGAAGGTAAAAGGAGGAGAGATTATTGAGGAAGCAGGGTCATATATAGAAGACATCTGCCATTTTATTATGCAATGGAAATTACTGGCACACTTCAAACAAATCCAATGAGATTAGGTTTGTATTTTAAAGTTTACTCTGGTGCTATTGTCGATATTAGAGGTTGAGGTGACTAGAAGTTGGGACAGTAACTGGGAAAGCACCATTAAGTGCAGGGAAGAAAGTGTGGGCACCTGGTCTAAGAGAGGAGAAACTAAGGGGAGAGAATCTTCCAGAATTAATTGTGGGTTAGAATGAAATGGACCTAGTTACCAATGTATGGGGTACAGGGTGAAGCCAGATTTCAGTCTGGGTGACTAAAGGAATTGTGTTATCATTAACCAAGATGGAAAATACAGAGGAAGAACAATTTTGATGGGGAAGAAACAGAAAATAATACTAATTTTTATTCTAGTGTGTTTAAAGAATCATTGAGATAGACACTCAGGTAGCAAGAGCCAAATAAAAACATGGGCCCAGAGTTCAAGACCTTAGAGATAAAAGTATGGGACCATTAGAATATTACTGTTACGTGAAGGCACGGGGAGTACAGAATACGGCTTAGGGAGAACAAACATGTAATATGAAAAGAGAGCTAAAGACAGAACCAAGGGCAGGCAAACACAGTACCTACAGGGCAGGCAGAGGAAGAAGAACCAGCAGACTATTGAAAGGAATAGTCACAGGTACTGCAGAGCTAGGAGACAGTCACACTGTGGAAGCTGTTGGGGTTCAGAGTGGGGGGAATGTTTAAAGAAGGAAGGAGTACCAACTACTAACCAATGCAGCAGAGAGCAAATTAGGGCTGAAAAATATTCCATGGATTTGGAAAGTTAAAAGTTTCAGAGAATGCAGGGGAGTCGGGGTGGGGGCAGTGGTGGTGGTGCTGAGGGGAATGGGGAGAGAGAGGGAGAGAGAGAAGGAGAGAGAGAAAGACAGAGAGAGAAGCAGAGCCAAGAGAAGGTTTATTTTAAACCCAAATTTGTTCATAGACTGAAGGGATGGCAATAGTCTTCAGGGATGGCCTGGAGATAAAAAAGAGAAGGATAAGTGATTGAAGTAAGGCTCTATATTCTAAGAAGACTAGATGAGATGGTATGTCTGATACATGAGGACAGTGGTAAGAATAACTATGGATGAAGATATTAACGTATCTGTAGGCTTGGATATGAAGGCAAGCAAGAACTTGGATGAATTTACCTACCGTCCCTGGGTTTCTCTATGAAGCAGTCATATACAGAGTGTGAAGAGGGCAGAACTGTAACAAAGGGCTTCAAGAAAGTGGTGAAAGGTTAAAACAGGCAATGTAGGAGATGGAAAAGGGTACTGATGAGGGAAGACAAGTTAAAAAAATGTTTTGTCAACTACTTTTCCTAGATGGTTCTCTTGGGAAAAATGATGATTAACATTTGGAAAATATAAATCAGGGAAAAGAGCACTGTGGGGATAACAGGCCTCTTTCTATCAACTGAGTCCATGACTCACCATCACTTAAGCATAACAACTCAGAAGACTCACGTGAAAAGTAAAAATGATTAAAAATGATTCTAAATAAAAGCATCATCAAATTTTGCTATTCTTACTAATAGTACGGCCTTTATTTGCTCTTTTGCATATGTAACTACTATGCTTTCTCAATTGCAGTATCATTTTTTTACTTATTTTGCAATTATCTTTTCATCTCAAAAAAGAATATAAGACATTCTATAAGGCATTTTGAAAACCTTGGAAAACAAATAATAAAAATGGGGTAATTAATTACTAGGTTCCCATATTTTATATTCCATTCCTTATCTATTGCTGACAACCTACTTCTTCGACGATTTACATTAAATGATAGAGCTTTAATTCCTGTAAGTATACCTTGCTCGTAACTCACTAATTCGAACTGATTGTTGGCAGAAAGTAGTATGGGTTGATAAGCTGAAAAGCATTATATAACACATAAGATGTCTTAGGACTCTTAGAAAGGTATTTCAAATTTAAGTATTAATCAACATACCAACTTTCTTCTATTCTGATTGGTATACATTTAAAGAAAACAATTGTAGTTGAATCCTAAATTGTAATTTACATATTTTCCTGAGGTAACCTCACTTTAAATAATGAAGACTTCATAACAATAACAATATAGCAACATCAGTATCTATTTTACTTGACACATTTTGGCACACATTAAAAAAATAAATTTTTTTTGTTAAGATATACTACATACCTATTGTACCAATTGAACAAGAGCCAGTTGAGTCCTTCTAGTTGATATTCCCTGAGTTGATTGCCATTTTTATAGTCCCTGGATTGATCTATTTTCTTCCAAATATTAGAAGGAGGACGGTCCTTTGTGGAAAAACAAAGAATGAATGCTGTTTAAATCTTCCATGTATCATACTGATGGCAAAAAGCATTGGTTTAAAAATAACCCTAAGAGGCATAACAGTGTAGTGCTATGATTAACTTTTACCTAACATTTAAAGGTCAAATTAATTCTATACAACTCTTCCAGAAAATTGAAGAGGAAGATATATTTCCTGACTCATTCTATGAAGCCTTGATACCAAAATCAGACAAAAACATCACAACTACAGACCAATGTCCCTCATGAACAAAGATGCAAATATTAACGCAATTTTACCAAACTGAACTTAACAATATATAAAAAGGGCAATAAGATCATGACCAAGTAGTTTTTTTGTTTTTTTTAAACCAGGAATGGAACGTAGGTTTAAAGCAGAAAATTAATCAGTGTGGATCAACAGATTAAAAAATAAAAATCAGCCAAGTGTGGTGGCTCATGCCTGAAAGCTCAGCACTTCTGGAAGCCAAGTGAGGAGGATCACTTGAGATTAGGAGTTCAAGACCAGCCTGGGCAACACAGGCAGACATAATCTCTATTTAAAAAAACATAAAACATAAAAACCAGAAATAATATGATACTCTCAGTAGATGCAGAAAAAGTATATGAGAAATTCAACATCCACTCCTAATTAAAACTCATCAAATTCTGAATAGAAGGGAACTTCCTTAACCTATTATGGTACAGCTATGAAAAAGTCAAAACTAACATTACACTTAAAGGTGAAAGACTGACTGCTTTCCCCCTAAGATCAGGAATAAGGCAAGGATGTCCTCTGTGACAACTTCTATTCAACACTGTACTGCAGGCACTAACAAGTGTAACCAGCAAGAAAAAGATAAAAGTCATCAAGATTGAAAAGGAATAACAAACTGTCTTTATTTATATTATAGAAGACATGATTTGTCTATGTAGAAAATCCTGTGGAATCTACCAAGAAAGCTAAACTAAGTAGTAATTTTAGCAAGGTTGCATAATACAAGATCAATGTGCAAAAGTCAATTGCAGTCTACATTATGGCAACAATCGTGAATATATTTTTAAAAAACAATAACAATTTTATAATAGCATTCAAAATAGCTTTTGATATTCATGGTACAAAACATTTCTTTCAAAAGAAATCTATAAGCCCAGAAGTGAAACATTATATATAAAAGAATTTTATTCACTTATATATACAGATACATAAGACATAAATTTTCTGAAGATTCCTGAATGGGAATTCAAATAACATTATCCTGGCCCCAAATTAGTAGGGTCTCAGTGGGAGAAATAAGTTTCTGAGAAATAAGCAAAAGGTCTCTTATTGTCTTCTGCTTTAAAATTATACTGTTACTAATCAACAAAATTACACTTCTAACAATTATCAGGATAATCAGGTGTGATATTGTGAAATATATATTTGGTCTTCACTCCTATTTCCTGGCATACAACTCTTGATATTCTTGGGTTCTCCAAAGTGCTGCTTATTTGTGTGCCAATATTGCTGACTTACAAATTCAGGTGAGGCTGGTCACCAGAAGGACAAAGGCATGATTAGAGGGGAGAATGAGAGGAGAGGAATGGGAAGAAAAGGAGAGAAGGAGGGGAGGAAGGAAGGAAGGGGAGAAGATCAAGTTGATCACCAATGGCCATTGGATGATTGAATCAATCATGCCTATATAATGAAGCCTCCATAAAAACCCAAGAGGACAGGGTTTAGTGAACTTTCAGGGAGCTGAACACTTCCAGGGAGCTAAACATGTGGAGACTGACAGAAAGGTGAATAAGAACTCATTTACATGCCAGGAAAGTGGCAAACCCCAACTCTACAGGGACAGAAGCTCCTGCACTCAGACCTCGCCCTATGTGTCTCTTCCTCTGGCTGTTTGTTTGTATCCTTTAAAATATCCTGAGGAATAAACCGGTAAAACTTGAACGTCTTCCTGAGTGCTGTGAGCTGCTCTAGCAAATTAATCAAACCCAAAGTGGTGGGTAATGGGAACCCTAACTTGAAGCCAGTCAGTCAGAAGTTCTGAAGGCCCCTGGACTTGTGACTGGTGGAAAGGAGGGGACAGTCTTGTGGGACTGAACCCTCAAGATGTGGGATCTGATGCTATATCTGGGTAGATGGTGAATTAGAGCTAGGTAGAACTGAATTGGAGGACAGCTAGCTGGTGTCCACTGCAGAACTGACTGCTTGCTGTTCAGAAGAATTCCCCACATATTTTGGGGTCACAGAAGTCTTTTGTGTTGATTGTTGTGTTACCCTGAGAGCACAGGAAAAACACAGTTCAGGAGAGTTTTTCTTAAACATCAGGTAAGTGTATGGTAATTGTAAATGGAAAACAAAACAGGCTATCAGTATACAGAGAACAGGACTGGTTATTGAAGCTCTGCTGCTACTTAATACAGGTAAGTGTTTGCTAAAGAAAACATTTTTTAAGTGGTAGCCAATGAGCATTAAAATAATTAACATATATTTTAATTGCTGCTTAAAATAATTTCTGCATTAGATCATGTTCTGTGCAGCTTCTTTTCAGCAATCCAGTCACCATTAATGATTCATTAGTTTGGGTCAGGGAAAAATTTCATTTACAGAATCTCAAAATACCTTACATGACTTACATGCTATTTTATTTAACAGCAATATACTGGCAAAAAGAAAAGAAAAGAAAACAAAACAAAACAAAAATCTCCTACATTATTTAACCATGACAGACTAGCCTTGTTGTCATCAATTTTACATTAATTAAGGGGATTAATTCTATTGGCTGAGCCCCCTTTACCAAGGTCTATAACATATATTTAAGGCATCTCTAATTTTTGAAAAGCTCCAGAAGAGATTCTGATATGCACCTGTGACTGAGAATCATTGATTTAAAGACATAGCTTATTCAATGAGGCTTAATGTTACCACCAAGGCATAGTCCCCACCCCAAAAGAAAATCTTTCTTTTACAACATTCCTTGACCCACTCCTCTCTGAATTAGGTGATACTTCTGTTTTCTGGTTCAAGGAATAGCATTTAGAAGGTAAAAGGAATGGGGGTAAACTGATACCCTTTTGTTAACAGCCTATGGGCATTACTGGAAAATAAAGTAAGAAGACCAGAAAATAATATTAGGAAGATCAGAAAATAGTTATTATAAAACAATATGATCTCTTCTATGGAATATTTAATTCATTTCATTCTCTTATGTCACATCTCCATGTTTATCAGGGCAGCTTTCCTCACTTTCGTGCTAATCAAAAAGGAATCTGCTCCTGTCTTTTCACATATAAACTCCCTCTTTAGCTTTGGCTCCCAAAACTAGACTCACATAGTAACAAGTCTGTTTAAAAGAAATGAAAGTAAAACAAATTACATAATTATTAGCAATATCGTAACTTACATAAACAAGTGCTAAGATTTCATAAGGCTGTCTAAAACAGATTCTTACCAAACGTCTTGTGTCAGGCCTTGAAGCTTGCAGTTGTTCAAACTCTTCTATTTTTGCAAGATCTACATCTTCTTTCAGTTCCCAAGTACTATCTTCATATGGCAATGAGCACCATTTTACTAAGTAGTAAATAACAGGCTGTAAAAAAATTTTTTTCATTTTACCATTTTGAAAAAGACACTAGTAAGAAATAGTTTAAACAGAGAATAAAGTACTAGGTCTTAATACTTGGAAAGCTTCAGATTTTTCTTACTTAAAAAATATTTTTACCAAATATTTACCTCACCAGTATCCTTATCTTCACAAAAAGAGACTTCTAACACTCTGTCTACTTCAACGTAGTCTGGATTAAATGGTTCTTCTTCCATCTAAAATTAAAAGGTAACTTAATTGAAATCTGACAAAGAAGTGGAATGATAAAAGGACAAATTTACCAGCATTTCACTACAGACCTTGTAAGTTTGATTTTAATTAAATGCCCAATAAATGGAATTCTTCCATTTTCACTTCCAAATGATAGCTAGGATATCATGAATAATGTTGTAAATAATAAAACCAATCAAATAGTATTTAAAAATAAGGTACTCTAGAAGATACATGCTTTAAAAAATTCCTGAAAGCAGCCTCTATATCTTTCCTTTATTCTTTTCCTTAGGTTGCAAGAGTTGAAGACCATGCATCCCATTGTATGCTCATTTCTCAGTTGTCTCACACAGGCTTTATCTTTACCTGATGGTTCTTGTGCTCAAGACCCACTTATTGAGCCGACTGTAAACTTTACTGAGGTACCTCAAACTCATTTGCACTCAGTTACTCTTCAACCCATACCTCCTCCTACATTATCTAACTGGTTAATGGTAACAGAGCTTCCTCTCCATAGCCCACGCTCAGTGACACAAGTCAGAAATGAAGAAGTCATTTTAGATTCCTTCTTTTTCTTTACCCTCTACATCTAGTAAGTAACCAATTTGTACAGATTCTACTTTTAACTCTGAGATTGGTTCCTCCTTCCTCATCCTCACTTCTTACTTGAACCTTTACAAATAACCCCAACTAGTGTCTCACCTCCCTTTAATCTGTTTTTCACAATGTCCCCAGAGTTATCTTTCTCAAATATAAATATTATATATCGTTCCTTTACTTAAAATTCTTCACTGACTCTCCCCTAATTAGTTTTAATGAAAATTTAATGATTATTAATTAATTCTAAAATCTTCAGCTTATTAGGGATTTCTAGATCACAGTGAATAAATGAGATATTTAAGGTGATGGGAGGACCTCCCAGCATTCACAAACTCACAGGTCATTAGAATAATTTTTTTTTTTTTTTAAATAGAGATAGAGGTCTCATATGTTGGCGAGGCTGGTCTCAAACTCTTGGCCTCAAGTGATCCTCCCATCTTGACCTCCCAAAGTGTTGGGATTTCTGGCATGAGCCACCATACCCAGCCCACATTTTTTATGTGAAATTAATAATTACAAATGGAATAATAGTAATTATGTAGTGAAGATATCTGGCAGATACCACCTTAATCTAGTGATTAACCACCAGTACTGGGGTAGAGAGGTATCATGTACCATCTTATATCATTCACTAGAAGAACAGAGCATCACTTCTATGGTGTTCTTTTAAAAAATGCCTAACCTGGATCATGACGAAACCTCATACAATCCCAAATTGAGGGGCATTCTACAAAATTAATGAGCTGTACTCTTTAAAAATGTCCAAGAAATGAAAAACAAAGAGGGACTGACTAAGAGAGATATTACAACTAAATGTAACGTGTTGCTGGATTAGACTCTGGACCAGATAAAAATACACACACACACACACATTTTGTTATAAAAACACTAGTGGAACAATTAGTGAAATATGTATAAGGTCTGTGGATGAGATAATAGTATTACATCGATGTTAGTTCTACTATTTTTATGAAAGAGAATATAGTTGTTTTTAGGAAATATATACTAAAGTGTCTGCAATGTTAAAATGGTTTAGAAAAAGACGTGTGTATGACAGAGATAGAGAGACAAAGAGAATGAATACAAATGATAAAGCAAACATGGTAAAATGTTAACATTTTGGAAATCAGTTAAAATAAACGTGGGAATTCATTGTACTATTTTTGTGACTATTTTGTTTAGAAGAAAACGTTTTTAAAATTCTCAAATTAAGAACTTAAAGTGGCTCTAAAAGGAGTCTATTAGAAAATCTGGACCAGGAAAGAACATCAGACCATTCAGTCAGGCCTATACAGGTAAATTTTTCCAGTGAGGTTCTGTTCACATACATGAAGCTGGTATAGAAAATATGCAATATATTTCATGTACTGAAAAATCTTATTTTCCATTTACTTGCTAGATTATCACTTCCTCCACTTGAATAACTTTGCTGATATATTCTTGGTAATAAACCATACTCACATTCAACTCTAAGTATTGAAATATATGCTAGTTAAAAAATACAAGCATGATCTACCATTCTGAATTATCAGTGTTCCTGTTTCAAACAGTTTCCAACCCAATTTTGAGAATAGAAAAATACTATATGTAGGTAGCATTTGTATTCAAATATCAACACTGGAAGTCTAAGAATTAAAATAATGTGTAATTTTTGATAAATAATGCTACATGTGTTCAGAGACCAACACATAATAGTCTTATTTATTTTTTTCTTACATCTGCAAAAAAGTGTGCTCTTTGTGCTTGTCTCAATTTGAATCGTTTGATTTTCTGCTGGATCCTTTTATCTTTCAAAAGCTGCTCTTCTGTGGCCCACTCACAGTGAAGATAGGAGCTAAAATTTTTATAAAAATAATATATTAGAATGATACAGATAACCATTTTAAGATGTATTTTAAACCAAACTATTATAATTCTTCAACTTTACAAATAGGTAGTTCATCAATTAACTTTAATAGAATTCATATCATTTCTAAAATAAAGTAATTGTGATCACTATATGCTAAGGAGGTCACAGTCTAAAGGTATACAATTTGCCACATAGAAACAGAACAGTAAAATGATCAAAAGTCTAATCACAAGATGTGATTTATCTATTATTTTCTTCCCTATAACAGTTTTGTCGTGATCAGAAAGCTAACTAGTTTTGAAACTAACGTGATTTAAAACGCTTTCATGGAGGTACAAAGAAAAGTTGGAAAATACATAAAAAGAAGAGTAAGTGATTTTTCCCCAGTTAGCAACTCTTACGAGTTAACTGACCTACATCCAAAATTAAAATTAAAAACTTTAAGGTCAAATCATCTCATTGTGTACATCTGACATAAAAACCTAAAGATCAGGAAAAAAAAAATTTGTTTTTAAAGAGATGGAGTCTCACTATGTTGCCCAGGCTGGCTTCAGACTCCTAGGCTTAAGAGATCCTCCTGTATCAACCTCCAGAATAGCTGGGACTATAGGTAGATTAGAAATGTCTTTTATAAAAACAATAAAATCTGAAAAGTTCAACAATACAATGAATGCTGTCCATAAATTATAAAAGTATATTTTATAAAGATTCTTGCATTTTGATGTTAATAATTAACATTTTCTGGAAAATAAACAAAATTTAATTTTTTTTTGTCTTTTTTTTTTTTGAGATGGAGTCTCGCTCTGTCGCCAGGCTGGAGTACAGTGGCGCGACCTTGGCTCATAGCAATCTCCGCTTCCCGGGTTCAAGTGATTCTCCTGCCTCAGCCTCTTGAGTAGCTGGGACTACAGGCACGCGCCACCACGTCCAGCTAATGTTTTGTATTTTTAGTAGAGATGAGGTTTCACCATGTTGGCCAGGATGGTCTCAATCTCTTCACCTTGTGATCCGCCCACCTTGGCCTCCCAAAGTGCTGGGATTACAGGTGTGAGCCACCCTGCCTAGCCAAATCATTCAATTTTAACATGAAAGGTTTTCAAATGGGCCCTTTTCACTTTTTAATGATTCTTGATTTATACAGGTATAAATGATAAAAATTATAAAAAATGTGGATAAAATGAAAATCATAATTTTAATTTATTAAAGTAATTTATATGTAAATCAACATCTTTCTTTTATTTTTCTAACTCAAATACTTACTAATTCTTGTATTTTACAAAAAATTCTTCTGTATCAATCATCACTCCAGGTGATATCTAAGAAAAGAAAATCAGTAATGGTGACTCTTTTAAACAGGCCACAGAATATGAAGTGTAAAATGTAATGTACCAGTACTTACTTCCTTTTTTACAATTCTAGAAGATAGAATTTTGTCTACAATTGCAGCATCTTCTTCACTCGGATTTTCCTATGGGAGGGAGGAAAGAAATAATGACAACACATTCTGAAAGATCTTTTAGTTGCCACTTTGTATGTTGATGAACATACTATAATTCAACAAATATTTATACAGCATATGTGCCAGACACTATGTTACATGTTAGAAAAACAAAAATGAAAAAAATATAGTTATTGTCCTTTTCATTACCTGCATTATCTCTGTAGCAAACATATTGTGCTTTTTAATGTGCTAGTCATTATTTTAAGCATTTTATATATATTAATTGAATCTATTATCTTCATTATTATCATTTCCATTTTACAGATTAGGAAATTTAGGCATAGTTAAATAAGTACTTTCTCAAGGTACTCAGCTAGTGACTGAGTGGTTGGCTCATAATGCATATAAGGGGGACTTAAAAAATTAAAGACGAGAGAAGTACATATGGCATTCAGGCAAATGTGTTCATAAAACAGAGGAGTGAGTGCTTATGGAGAAGTAGCAGGAAACAACACCAGAAAATCCAGACGAAGGGGTTTACACACTGCTAAAAAGGCATCGTTATTTTTGTAAGGTTCAGGAAACTATTACAGGAGTTTTCAGTAGAAAAATAATGTGATTAGACTTGTAATTTAGAAATATTCTGCAGAAAAGATAGAATTTCAAGAACATATATTTAGGAGGTAGAAAGTGTAGTGACAACCTGGATGAAGAAGCAAAGGAAAACGAAGAGAGGATGAATGCCTAGGTTTCTAATTTGAATGACTCAATTAACTAATAATATGGAATCCAGAAGGATTAAGTTGGAGCAATTTTTACAAGAAAAAACAATACAAGTACCTTATAGAATTTATGTTGGTTTAAAATGTTTTGCAGTCATAATTCTAAATATGCTTACCACAAACAACTGTAAAGGCTGTTCACCAGGTAAAGGAGCTGAATTCTTTTTTATTTTCATAGAACCTTTAACCTCTTCTTCAGATTGCTTCCCTTCTACATCTTCTGCGTATTTTTTTCTTTTAATTTGTCGATTTGATCTTCTTTTCTGTAACGAACCACAAGGATCAGATTTATATAATTTATTTTGAAGAAAAGTTTTTAAAAATAATTACCCCTAGAGTTGGTGGTTTTGTATATTAAATTTTCAACATGATACTCAATGCTCATCTTTTCCTGTTTTGTTTTTAATTAGAGGAAGATTATAATTTGCCATTTGCCACAGGCTTACAATGTTCCTACAGTTCTACTTTCTATAATTTCAAACAACAAATATTAGTAATACTTTTATTATGTTAATTTGGAAATCATTAAGAATAAAGAGATCCCTCTTTTTTTAAAAAATTATTTCACAGGTTGGGCAAAATATATTTTATTAGTAATACCTTTATTACTACATTACTTATCTTTAGAAACTGTTGTTAAGAATAAAAAGGTATCTGTTTTATTTAACTATTTCATACCTTGGGCAATAAATATTTAAACTATTAATAATTTCACAGTTTTAGTCCAAAACGTAAAAAGTGTATCAGATGAATATTGGGTATAGAATTGGGGGTATAAATCTAGAAGAATAAATTCAATAGTATTTGCCAAAACACGTGAAACTGTGTTTAAAGCAGAATAACATAAAATATTTTAAAAGAAATGCACAAAATAAGCAAGCATTAAATCTACCAAATAATTGTGAATGAAAGAAGAAACGGTTTCACTAACTTTAGTAGCTTTCCTTAAATATAAAAAAATCACTATCATCACACAAAATTAAGCCTTTTACAAGGTATTACCTGTAGTAAGATAATTTTTAAATAATCTAAGTAATTTTAAATCTGGAATCAAATATACATGGCTTTACTTACCTCCCTAAATATCTAGTATTTTTTCAAAAGTTTTATATTTCAAGGAGAACTTAAAAAACAAAAACAAAGTTATATCTCTTTTAGTGTTTCCACAATAAAGATAAAAACTCAGGTTGGTTTCAAAATCCCAAATGACTTAGATTTATTTTTTAAATTTCCCTTGTAATCTCATGGGGTAGAGACATTTCATGGGGGTAGTGGCATCTCAACCAACTGTTCAATTGCTTAATATGTGGCAAATCTCTCTCTTCTTTTTTTTAGTCCAATTTCTTCTATATATTTAGTAACTTCATGACACTTCCAAAAAATGGAACCAGCAAAATAAACCACAAGTTCTTTTGGTTTCTGCTTGTCTTCTATTTGGCAGGTCTTTAATTTACCTTCATAGCCATGACGAAAATAGCTGAGTCACTGTTACAGTGTGGTGACAAACTATATGCATGCAGTCATGCCTCTGCCCCTTTCTCTTGTGAGTAGTAAAATACTGAGAGAAAGAAAGGCACTTATATGGTCAGTCAAATGTACTAGATAACACCATGCCTCATTAGGATGGGTCAAATGTTTCTTGGCCATGAAGACACTGACATTTCAAACCTCAAAGTAACACAGCCTGGTGACATATAAAAATCCTAATTAAAGGGCTAATAGAAACCCAATTTTCCTTCATCCTGTTTTGAAAAGGATATGAATTACTTACTATTCTCTGGGAGGGGGGAATTCTATGGATTACTAACACTAGGCTAAAAGAATATTTAGAATTCTATTATGGGCACCATATAGATCTTAATGTTCAAGAATAGTTTTAATTAATAAACAACTGTGACATATTATCAATGTCTCATTAGGCATGACTTTTAAATAATGAAATTTGAGACTAGTTCAGTACATTTTTAGAAAATTCTGTTAGATGTTTTCAGCATTAGTTTCCTTTCTGGTCATTTAGACATCTATTAGTACTTAGAGACAACTCACTTAGTTTTTAGTAAATAGCAAGTGAGTGACCTCAAAGAATCTTTTAAGCTCACAAAAGTGCACTCGGATAGAATGAAGGTTACTTATTGTAAACTGTTCCCTCATCCTACAAAGACTTTGTCTAACAGATTAATTTAAAAGTGTATGAATTATGAGATTATAGAAGATTTTACCATAAATTATACTCCACTAGAGGATATAGTTACACATTAATTAGGTAAAGCCAAATAAGGTATCATTCTCACCAATTATCATTACCTGCCATACAACGTCGCTACTAGTTTAAAAACATAAAAATGAATCTGACTTCTACAATTTTGGCATGTGCTTTTTCTAGCTTTCTTTCTCCATGTTTTTTAAAGCACAACTGGAAATCTTGATAAACTGTCCCTTCTAATTTCTTATTTTTAGCTTCTTAAGTCTTAAAGGCTTCAAGAGATCAGTCCATAGCACTTCACATAGGAGGTCAGAAACATGTTTTAAATAATATAGTACTTCACTATTTTAACATTGCACTTGTTTCCTATAATATTCCCAATAGTATAATCTGTTGCAGGGGCATTTTTCTTTGTAATTTAGGTCTCTAAATATAGTTGGACAACTGTAATATTCTTTATTAAGATTAAAAGTAACAAAATTAAATACCAAATCACATTTTTAGATTTCTAACTGATTCCAAACCTTAATTAGTTTCCAACATGGCTGAAAGCTACATGGATTTTTCCATCATTTATTTAATTACACAATCAAATATATCAACAATATAGATTTATAACTATTAGAAAATATTTTTACCTTCACCATTTTTTGTGTGTGTGTTAAAGCAACACACCTGTCAAAACAACCTAATACTACAGTGAAAAACATGGAAGAAATGTTCATGTTGACCTAGCCTACCATTTCATTGTTTGGAAATTACATAATGGAAAAATGGCCAGCATTATTTCAGCAAAAATTAAACTAAATGTAATCATATGGAATAAGTTAAATATAAGTTTGCCTAAGTTAAGGATAACATATGATGAAAAAGCCAGGCCATGTAATATTAGGAGCTTCAGTCACTGCCCTTACCTCAACTCTTGCAGCAGCCCAGGAGCCTTGAGCCACTACTCTCCCATTGGATAAGAAGCTGCATAAGGAAGAAGAAAGGCCATTCAGGGGCTTTCTGGCCCCATAATTCACAACTGCCACCACCCCTACGGCCTACAGTCGTACTTTAATTATTAGAGATCAGAGGGTGGCCTGAATTATTATGACCTTCACTATAAATAATTTTAACTTCACAGGGTTATTTTGAATATCCACCTATTCAGAAAAAAAAAAAAAAAAAGAAGGCAAAATGCATAGTATTTCTTCCGTCTACGTTAGGGGATTTTTAATATAGTCAGTTATCTTTTCTTCACAGAAACAGACCAAAGGAATTATTTCTAGGAATGATTCAATCCATTTGCTCTGTCGTTTGTATGTGATTAAAAAAATTACTATGTCCATCATGTTCATTCAAAAGAATTCTATAAGCACAGGATAATATCATTAAATACTCCTCCATGCTAAAAGCCATCAAGGACTTTGTATCGTTACTTAACCTCTCTGGGTTTCAGTTTCATTATCTGAAAAATGGGGGTTTGGAGAGGATATGTTAGTTTCCTCCCACATCTAATATTCTATGGTAATATTACCAGGACATATTGTAATAATGCTACTTTACAACTTGTACCATACTACAAAATGTATTTTTACTTCTAAACTAAAATGTAAATATCTATAAGGCAATATTATGCTAACTAAATCATTCTAACAGTGTTTCATTTCCAGAAAAAATTGTAATACTCACTTGAGAGTCTTGATCTTTTAATGTATGCTGTGGCATCTGTTCTGCATCAGATATTTCATCTGAAGACTCATTCTTTCTTTTTTGTTTCTTACCCAATGTAATAATGAGTTTGCTGTTTCAAGAGGAAAAGAAAAATAAGAATTCTTTGAATTTTCCTAAATTTGATTAAATTAAGATTGTCATGATAAACTTTTTTCCACTTTATATCACTTGCATGTCCAACTAAGGATGATAATTATCCTGAAATCCATGTTGACATTTTCAAAACATAAACTCTATTCTAATGGAACAAATACCATCCAATTATACGTTTGGAAGTATAATTAATGTACTTAAAAGTACAATCAATGCACTTCTAAACACAGAAAGGCAGTCAAGTAGGCTAGGCGCAGTGGCTCATGCCTTGTAATCCCAGCACTTTGGGAGGCCGAGGCAGGTGAGAAAAGGTCAGGAGTTCGACACCAGCCTGGCCAACATGGTGAAACCTGTCTCTACTAAAAATACAAAAATTAGCCTGGTGTGGTGGCGGGCGTCTGTAATCCCAGCTACCTGGGAGGCTGAGTCAGGAGAATTGCTTGAGCCCGAGAGGCGGAGGTTGCAGTGAGCCAAGACTGCGCCATTGCACTCCAGCCTGGCAACAAGAGCAAAACTCCATCTCAATGAATAAATAAGCAAGCAAGCAAGCAAACAAACAAATAAATAAATTTAGTGGGTAAAAAAAAAGGCAGTCAAGTCTTATTTGTTTTTTAGGCTTAAGACTACTTTTCATAGGAAAAATGTGAGGTGATACAACTGTTTTATTATCTTGCAGATTTGGAATGACAGATTTTTTTTCTCTTATTAAATTCGAATCCACTTATTATCCTTGAATCCCCCTATTTGTTAAAAGCCTCTACTTCCTTCTACTCTACAGGAGAAAGACAATTACTTAAGGCACTTTAACAATTAGTTGTTATTTAATTCTTTAATTTATGTTAAGGCTTATCTGTACTGCATGTTCCTAAGCATAAGAACTATTATTTTTTATATTCCTATAGCATGTGTGTGTCAGTATATCTTTATATATGTGTTTATATATATATTGATATTTACTCATATACACATCAGATGGAGCTATCTAAAATGAAAGTGGTTTTTTCTGTCTTGATGAGAGGTATAAATACATAACTCTCACATTTCCTTATCTGCTTCAACAAATGCAGGGGCATGATTTTAAATCACGGTAATTATTAATCAGCAACGTACTATTTTAAATATCTGTAAAATAAAAATGGAAAATCTCCCAAATACTTTCAGATATGATTTATCAAAAAGATATCAGAATTATTTCAACAACTATTTATTAATGTAGGAGAATTTGGAGGTTAAGAGCATGTACTTTGAAAACACAGGGTCAAGATTTAAACCCTGACTCCATCATGTACTTATCTGTGAGACATTGGGCAAATTAGTTCTTTTAGCCTTGGTTTCCTTGCCTGGAAAATAGGGATATCATAATAACTACATCTACTGTTGCTGAGAATTAAGTGGCATAATGCATACCAGCTTTCAGCACAGTCTTGAAATTGTATAGTAATTTCTCAACTAATGCTAACAACTTCTAAATATTCTATGCCAAACACTTTCCTAGGCTCTAGGATTTGAAAATATAGTGACACAGTTCCTAACCTTAAAGTGTCATAGTTAGACTATGATCACAGCTAAAATGCCAAAGTGGGGGTTAGCACAGGATGCAAGGTGAACACGAAGAAGTGCTCACGGTTATTGAAGAGTAAAGGGTGCTTTACAGAAAAGATAACATTTGATATGATGAAAAGAAGTTTAACAGGTAGTGAAAGTGGTAGAGTACAATCCAGGCAGACAGATACCACAGAAGAGGTGAATATGCAATGGTAATAGCGTGAAAGAAATACACAGAGTACCCCAGAAGGAGGTGGCAGACAGCTGGATAAGCAGAAAGCGTGAAGATCACAGAAGGCCTTGTATGACACACACAGAGTTCACATTTTAAGGGCATCTTTTAAGCTCTTGAGAGCAAGAATTTAAAAGGAATCTGTCTTGTTCATCACTGGCAACAAATGTTTAATGAACAGGCAGTGAGTTATTTTGAATAAATAAAAAAAAGCATTTGGAAGATAAAAGAATTATAAGCAAGGGGGTAATGTGACGACAAGGAAGTGAAACGCAAGGCAGGGAAACCAATGATAAGGCAAATGACAATTCAGGGGAGAGATAAAGAGTGTAATCTAGGGTTGTGAGAATGCGGATGAAGAGGTAAATAAAGATATAATTTTTTATTGTGGAAGCAGAACCAACAGGACTTGGTTATTGACTGGATGACTAGACTTGAGGCGATAAAAAGTTATAGAACGCTTTCTCCCTATATTATTCTTGTTATTGGTATGATTACCACATTCAATAGAATAATGGTAATTCTTACTGGGTGTCTCACCTGCACTCTTCTGAGTATGTGAAGAAAGTAAATAACAGTAAGAAATACTGCTTATGTTGGAAGCAGGAAATCAGAAGAAATACAAAGATATTCTGAAGGAACATTAAGGAACCAACCATAGTTACACTTCATTGCCTCTCGCCACTTTCACTGTTTATTTCCTCTCTGTTCTAGTCCCTTTTCCTGCTCTAGTTCCTTTCCTAAAATAAAAATCTCCCTTGAGGCTATATTTACTGTTAGATTCCATATGATCTTGTTCTTCCCCCTTTGTATCCATAGCTCTCAAAAGAGTCATTTCCATTTCATTCCTCAACCCACTATAATCTCAACTCTTACAACTACTTTTATTATTCATAGCTTCCATTTATTCAGTGTTTACTATGAGTCACCCTCTGTGCTGACTTTACATGCATTCTCTCACTTGATGTTCACACAACTTTAAAAGGGAAGTACTATTATTTTATAAGAGGAAATTGAGGCTTAGAGAAGTTAAATAACTTGCTCAGTCACACAAATAGTAAGAATAGAGACAGAAACTAAGTATGCCTCACTCCAAAGTCTAAACTCCTAATGCTTAAGGACTCAAAAGACTTTTAAAATGCAAATCCAACGGAACTTGAAAAAAAAAATCCTAACATGTAACTAAGTCTTTTTTTTTTTTTTTTTTTTTTTTTTTTGAGACAGAGTCTCGCTCTGTAGCCCAGGCTGGAGTGCAGTGGCCGGATCTCAGCTCACTGCAAGCTCCGCCTCCCGGGTTCACGCCATTCTCCGGCCTCAGCCTCCCGAGTAGCTGGGACTACAGGCGCCCACCACCTCGCCCGGCTAGTTTTTTGTATTTCTTAGTAGAGACGGGGTTTCACCGTGTTAGCCAGGATGGTCTCGATCTCCTGACCTCGTGATCCACCCATCTCGGCCTCCCAAAGTGCTGGGATTACAGGCTTGAGCCACCGCGCCGGGCCGCAATGTGTAACTGTTTCCTTTTGGCCCCCTTCCTGGCTCCCTGACATGAGAGTCTTCTGGTTCTCACTAAACTTGGTTTTACTAAATTTTGGCTCTTCTTCCTGCATCTACACCTTGAATGTTAGTTTTCCGTAGGATTCAGTCATTGACAATTCTTCTCTGTCAGCCTGTTAAACTTTGGTTTCTCTCAAAGTTCTGTCTTCAGCCGCCTTCCTTCTCTATATACTGTTTGTCCCTGAGAGATTTCATTTAATCTATTCTTAATTACCAACTAGAAGTTAAAGATCCTCAAATCTCTTATCTCTAGTTCAGATCTTTCCCCCGAGCTTCACGTTCAAAGAACTAATTGCTTATTAGACATATACATATGGGTATCTTATAGGTATTACAACTTCAATATGCCTCCAATCCAATCTCTCATTTTCCGTAAACCTATCAGGGCAAGTCTACTAATATTAAAGTGTAACGCAAAGTCAGAAAAGTGCACACATAAGAGTACTGCTCAATCAATTTTCTCAAACAAAATATCTGTGTAGCCAGCTTCCAGATCAAGAAACAAGACATTAGTTTCCCAGAAGCCCCCTCTCATGCCTCTCCCAGTAAGAACCTCCTCCTAAAGGTATCCATCACTTTGCTTGTGAATATTTGCTACATCCTAAGGCACTGGTGCAGATGATTTTTAATGGCAAAGTAAGGGACAATACTAAATAAAACTGGGTAGTAAAAATACATATTTGATACCTTCTCCTACTTGCTATCAATCTCCAACTTAAATGTGTATTTTCAACTAGTCTGTAGATGAGAACAACATACGGAGAGTGTAGTTGTTTAAATAACAATCTCCCATGAAATGGAAATCATGGCCTCTTAATACCCTTCATATATTGCTTAAAAAGGTATTTTTTCAATGTTTGGTAAGCTAAATGAATTATGTGAATGCACATTCTGATGCAATATCTTATGTGGCTGCTTAAAGACTCAAATCCCAATGAAGAAAACTTTCAATGAAATGAGAGGCAGAGATATTTAAATATTTTTTTAAATTTACAAATGACTGTAATCCCAGCACTTTGGGAGGACGAGACGGGCGGATCACGAGATCGGGAGATCAAGACCATCCTGGCTAACACGGTGAAACCCCGTCTCTACTAAAGAATATAAAAAACTAGCCGGGCGAGGTGGCAGGCGCCTGTAGTCCCAGCTACTCAGGAGGCTGAGGCAGGAGAATGGCGTAAACCCGGGAGGCGGAGCTTGCTGTGAGCTGAGATCCGGCCATTGCGCTCCAGCCTGGGCGACTGAGCAAGACTCCATCTCAAAAAAAAAAAAAAAAAAATTTACAAATGACTATGAACTGGTTCCGCTATTCTTTTACAATAGCATAAGGGGATTAAATGAAGATTCTCTAAGGACAAAGGACCAAGCTGCTTAAACATTATTTTTATAGATAAATATTACCTAAATCTCTAGAAAATACTAATAAATAAATACTAACTACCAAATAAATCTTAAACACTTGCCCTTTTGAGTGGTGGGGTTGGGTTAGATAAAAATGTTTCCCATCACACCTTAGATAAGCCTTTTGTTATACTAATTATTTGAAAATTTTACTTAAAAACAAAAAAGCAACTTTCACTTTATTTTCCATATATTCTGTATTATTCTTCCAACATTGTTCTACATGTCTGGAATAGCATCATGAA